TGTTGAGGTGGCCCTTTAACGTGTATCCTTGACCTTATATAAACTACTTATGATGATTACCACACATGGAAAACACTACAGGTTATATTGAATGTGATTATCCAGATAGGCTTGAGCCAGGTTGACTCTATATGTAATCACAAATATCTTTAAAAGAATGAGAGTGGGAGATCTGGTATATGTATGTGTGTGCATAGATTGATAGACAGACAGACAGACAGAGAGACAGATAGATAGATAGATAGATAGATAGATAGATAGATAGATAGATAGATAGATAGATAGATAGATAGATAGGTAGGTAGGTAGGTAGATTTGGACATAGTAGGCTTTAAAAAATGCACTAATGCAGCACCAAGCCAAGGAAAGCTAGTAGCCTCAAGAAGCTAAAAAAAAAAACAAAACCTGCAAAACAAGACAGGTATTTACTTTTAAAGTTCACATATAGCACAAGTCCTTCTGACAACTTGATTTCCAACAGTGATATTGATTTTAGATTTCTTAATACAATACTATAAAACATAAATTGCTGGTTGTATCCTCTCCACCAGTGCCCAGGAGCATGTCAGAAGCTCCAAGAGAATAGATACCTGCCAAAGAGGAAGATAGTGGCTCTAATCACAGATCTATATTGTGCATCTCATTCTGAAGCAAGGCAAAGGCAACAGTCAGAATCATTACTCTCTCTGTCTCTCTGTCTTTCTGTCTCTCTCTCTCCCTCTCTCTCTCTCTCTCTCTCTCTCTACATATATATATATATATACACATATATATATATATATAAAGATTTATAGTTCATTGTCTATGTTGAATTTTAAGGCCTAATATGGCTATTCTACTGCCATCTGGACTTACTATAGGTTATTCTCTTACTTCTTCAATTGAAATAGGCAGCTTTTCAAGGTAAATATATATTGCCACAATACTTCAAACAGGTTCACCAAGTATTGGGACTCTTCTTTTACAGTAAGTTGCACGATATAGAGGTGCTTGTCTTTTCCCTTCCAGAGAGCTTCAATATGAGGGGGTACAGAATTTCTCTTTTCTTTTTTTTTTTTGGGGGGGGGGTCCAGTCATGGGGCCTGAACTCTGGGCCTGGGCGCTGTCCCTCAGCTCTTCAGCTCAAGGCTAGCGCTCTACCACTTGAGCCACAGCACCACTTCCGGCTTTTTTTTTTTCCTGTTTATGTGGTGCTGAGAAATCGAATGGAGGGCCTCATGCATACAAGGCAAGCGCTCTACCACTGAGCCACCTTTCCAGCCCTGGGGGTCCAGAATTTCTGAGGTGTTTATTTCCCATCCTCTAGTTTTGCACCTGTCCTATCCACACTTAAAGTACTACTTACATCCTGCATAGCAGACCCAATTAGTTTAAATCTGTAAGTTTAACATACATATGAGATATTTTGTGGTATGTCAGGGTGATCAAGATTTCTATGAACAATGTTATTGTAGCAAAAGACAGACTGAATCTGCCCTGAAGCAAAACTATTAAGGTATACTGTTGGCACTGTGAAGTTAAAGCAAATTGCTTTTTGCAGTTAGTCTTTACAAACTTGCTTGAACAAGGGGAAATAAGTCATTATTCAGGCCAGTAGCTGCTCACCAACTACCTTCAGGTATACTGACTGATCAATTGCAGTAAAGGTTCATCTAGCACACCATCTGCAATGGGGTTAACACCTGATGCTAGTTATTTATTTATTTATTTACTGTCAGTTGTGGGGCCTGAACTCTGGTCTTGGGCACTGTCCCTCAGCTCTTCAGCTCAAGGCTAGTGCTCTACCACTTGGGCTACAGCGCCACTTCCAGCTTTTTCTGCTTATGTGGTACTCAGGAATCGAACCCTGGGCTTCATGCATGCAAGGCAAGCACTCTACACTGAGCCACCTTCCTAGCCCAAACTGATGCTATTTAAAACCGGGTTCAGCCATTCTCCAGGATCTACCTGGTTTCTTCATGAGCTTAGGTGGATGAACTAAATACAGATGTAGCACACCTGTATGTGGCACCTTTGACTACTTTTACTTTTCTAAGCCACTAATAAAAAGTAATCACTTTAATTACTCCAGGAACTAGACATTGCTTCCATTTTGCTATCTTTGTATTGAAGTTCTAGAGGTTCCAATTTCCTACCATAACAGAACACATTCATTCATACACTCAGTGTATACTTGTCAACGTCTAATATTCCTTCATCAGGGAACCAAGGATTCCATTCCCTAACTACATTAATACACATTTCTATGTCAGAAGAAGAAATATTTACACCATAAGCAGCAAGTAAATGTTTAAGCATATGTAAGTACAGAGTAGACCTAACTTGTCCCATCACCCTGTAATTAAAAGTACTTACCTGAATATCCCTTCCTGAATTCAACAATGCAGGGTCCCTGTTCGGGCGCCAATTGTCAACGTCTAGTGCATTGGGGTCCCTGGGTAAGGGTCACAAAATCACCAGGACACAGGGGATGCAGCGTGCAAACAGCAATTGCCACTGCATGCTGTGCTTTATTGTTAGTGGGTATTTAAAGACAAGTAAGCTTAATCTTTGCCAAGATTTGGTCAGAAAACATTCACACAAAAAATTTCAACAGATACTTGAGACAATGAGACAATGTCTAGGTATATTATTATCTAAACTATTTTAGAGCAAGCTCAAACCACTTCTCCAATCTCAGGAAAATGCTTGACCAGCTGTTCATCTATGTTTAAGCAAGCAGAAGAGCCACTTCCTCAGCTCCCAGGAGTCTGTGACATGTGCTTTGAGATAGGGAGAGAGAACATTTTCCCTCTCGAGCCTGGCGTTCCAAGAGCTTTCCTAATCCCAAACACAGTCCTCATACAATCCTGAGGCTGGAGCCTGCATCATTCTGCCCCTCAACATAGACCCCGAGTCTTCACATATACTGACAGTTGTTTAAGGATATTTTTCCAATTATACACTTACGAACTTAAAAAAGTCAATCTGCCAGGCAACGGTGGCTCATGCCTGTAATCCTAGCTACTCAGGAAGCTGAGATATAAGGATCCTGGTTCAAAGCTAGCCCAGGCAGGAAAGTCCATGAGACTCTTATCTCCAATAAACCACTCAGAAAACCAGAAGTGGCACTGTGGCTCAAGTGGTACCATGCTAACCTTGAGCTGAAGAGTTCAGGGACAGCACCTAAGCCCAGAACTCTAGCCCTACAACTGACCCCCCCCCCCAAAGTCAATCCATTGTTTGGGCCCACTGTGAATCAGGCTTCAGATAAGGTCTCATTTATCACCTGACCACTCTAGCCTCCTATAAAGGACATAATAGACCTGCTATCCTTTGAAAACTAGCTTTTCTTTTTAATGGTACTAGAATTTGAATGCACCTTGGGCTTACCAGTCAGGTGCTCTACCACTTAAGCCATGTCCCCAGTCATTAAAATGTTGTTTTGGGATAGTATTTACAAACTCAGATTTGGAGAGGATTCTTCCCATCCTAACCTGTAAGGGTGACTCACTGTGCCTAAATGTACAAATGATGTAGTTTTTTTTTTTCTTTTTTTCTAGGAGTCTGGAGTTTTGATAGATGCTGAAAGGTTCCTAGATAACCAGCCCCAGATAAAATCTCTACCATTCTAGTGCTACAGAGCTTTTCTAATAATAGTTGCCATGTGTTTTGAAGCTCATTGCTAGATAAATTAATCACACCTATGACTGCATTGTAGGAAGACTTGTGATTATTTGCATTCAGATTTTGTCTCATGAAAATTGCTTTGTTGTGCAATAAAATATATCCACAAACACAACCTTATTATGTGGACTTTGAGCTCTCTGAGACACACGTTGACTCTGGAGGCATTATTAGGATCTCCCCATAAAATTTTCCTTGAACTGATAAAACACAGTAGCATTGTGAAGCCCCAAGAATTAGTGTCAATTCAAAACCATTATCTAGTAATTCTCCTCAAATTTGGGTATCCCTTTTGTTTTTCTACAGTCATGGATATTGGTTGGAGTCCTGATGTCTCAAAAAGGCCCTTGATGCAGATGTAAGACCACAGTCATCGTTTATTGTTGTCTTTTGCTTCCTGACCATGACGTGATATGTGTGCAGCGCTGCCACAGGTCTGACGTGACAGGTCCCAACTATTATGATCGGAAACCTCCAACTCTTCAGGCCAAAAGAAACCTTTTCTCGTTATAAGTTCATTAGATCAAGCATTTCCTTAGAATATGATGAAAAACTAGCACAGCCATTCTAGCAAAGGCTAGAAAATCTTGGAGGAAGATTTAAGTCTGGATTCTTCCCCTCCTCTATGTTTAACTAAATCCAATAATTTAGTGGTGTGACTCTGTTCATTTGGGGTTAAATCAAGTCAGGGTTTGGAGATACCAGTTGTAGGATTTCTTCTGTCATAAAGCTAAATAATATTCTGGTAGGCTTTCTGTTCCCCATTTACCATACTACAGTAAATTGGCCACAAATATCCCTGCAGGACTCGGGATCCCAATTACTGCTGTATCTCCTGAATAAAACAGGCATTCCTAACTGTACTTAATTGTTAATTAACTATAGTTCATTGTACTATCGCCTATCATGGGATAGTACTTAGTGACAATTAACTATGATTCTGATAGGTGACTTACACACAGTATTTGGTATCCCTCATCCACTTAATTCCTTTCATTGCAGTCAGAATACAACCCGAAAGCTCTGCATTGGCCCTTTTAGGTCCTGTGTCCTTGCCTACCTCTCTCATCTCCACTTGTTCAGAAAGTTTCTCTGAGACTGAGACACAAGGAAACCCTCAGACTCCAAATCATCTCCTCCTCCCGCCTTTCTGACACAGCCCAGATGCTCAAAGACTTGAACACTCGCTAGTCTCTGCATGTGCACAGTCGTTTCTGCTGGGGTCAGGACTGACGCACGCGCTGGGCGTGGCTAGCGTGCTGGGGCGTGGCTAGCGCGTCGGAGGCGTGGCTGGCGCGTCGGAGGCGTGGCTAGAGCTGGGGACGTTCCCAGGGGCTGCAGCGGCGTCTTCGCTGCGCGCCTGCGCAGGTATGGAGCAGGAGGGTCGTCTGCGCCCCAGCTTGGCTCCTGGGCTGGCCTCAGCGACCCCCGAGCCGCAGCAGAAGCCATGTCCAGGAGCGGCAATGCGGGATCCGGGGTTCATTGCGGTCCGAGCCCGCAGCTTCCTGTTCCGTGTCTACTTGGTGGGCTTTTTGGTGAGTACGGCTGCTGGGGCGGGAGGGTCAGACACCCCCTCCATCCAGGACTTAGGACCGAGACCGAGCCGTGATTTCTTCAAGCCCCGCGGTTTGCAAAGCTCAGCCAGGACTAGGTGCTTTAGTCTGACCGCTCCTTACGCTTGGACCCTCCTCTTACCCTCTCCCCCCCTCTCCTAACCGAGAGGGTTTGGCTCCGTGTGCTAGCTCCTCTTGGAGGGGTCTTCTGGAGCTAAGTGCTGTGGCAGGTGCAGGACCCACAGCCTAGGCTCCAGAGAAAGCCCAACTTCGTGGTGCCTCTCCCCCAGCTCAGGGGTAGGGAAAATTGCCCACCTGGATAGAATTAGACACATTTTCGTTTGAGTTCCCGGTGGACTTGATTCTTGGAAGAAAAATATAAAAGGAAATTACAATGCACTGGATACAGTACATCTTTCTTTAGGTAGAATGTTTATATCTTGCACGGCAGTTTTGTTTCATTATACTGGTGTGTGTGTGTGTGTGTGTGTGTGTGTGTCCGTCCGTGTCCTAGTTCGGTCCAGAAGTGGCCAGTTCCCATGTATAATGAAAACCTTCGGAAGGATGAGTGTGCTGTAGTCAATCATGGAACTTTTGAACAACTGCCATGTGGAAGATGTTGTACACCTCCAATATTGTAATAGTTCCTGGTTCCTCAAAATGTAGGAAATTTATGTTCATAATTTTGGACCATGAAATCCCCAGGGACCCTGATCTACCTCCTCAGTCTTCCCCCTCCTACTCTAAATCATAATCAATAGCATTGATTATGAGCACACCTAGATTGGAAAAAATACCTGGTAGGATTTACTTTTGGAGAAGGTGCTGACTAGTTGAAATGTCCATAGAAGGAGGCCTTTGCAGATAGAATCTGATAACACTTGACCTTGGCAAAAATGAATTGACTATTTTGTGTACTACTACTTCTCCCAGGGTGGTGCTGTACTAACAGTAAGAGTTAGGAAGCCAAGCCAGATAGGACATCCTCAGGTAGGACCGGAGCACAGAGTCAGTTTTAATCCCCTTCTGTTTGTAACATATGCAACAGTTGGCAACACTTCACTGGTGAATTAATAGTTGTTAAGATCCTGAAGCATGCCAAGTGCTGGTGGTGGCTCACACCTGTAATCCTAGCTACTCAGGAGGCTGAGATGTGAGAATCCAAGTTCAAAGCCAGTATGAGACTCTTATCTCTAACCACCATAAAGCTGGTTGTGGAACTGTGGCTCAAGTGGTAGAGCACTAGCCTTGAGAAAAAAACACTTAGGAACAATACCCTGGCTTTGAGTTCAAGCCCCAGGACTGACACAAACAAAAATGATCCTGAAGCACCAAATGTCTATTCCTAGACCCAGGTAAGATGGAGAGAGGGCAACTTCTTAAAGACATCTTAGTCTCTGGTTAGCTTTTCACCCTGGTCCTCCTTCCCTGTTTCCCCAGCCCCACCTTTCATGCTTTTGACTCTAGAGCCTGACATGCCTTCAGACTCCTCATCCTGGATTTGTCTCTTCCACTTTGCAGTGTAAGCACCCAGAATTCAAAGAAAATGAATGTGGTTGGGTATTTCAGACTTAGAAAAGTGTTGATCTGCCAACTACCTTCTGATAGTAGATTCTACCTACTACTAGTAGATTCTCATTGTAGATCCTTGCTCCAATCTTACTCCAGCCTTACCTAGTTCTGTCAGATGAAATCTCAAACATCATCTAGACAGAGAGCTGTTTTCATTTATGAAAACAAAATAGAACAGTGCCCAAATTATTCATTATACTCAGCCTTCTGATGCATATTTGCATATTGGCAGCCTTTTATATGTTTTTGAATACTGGCCACACAGCAAGTTTAATATAGCAAGTCTGATATAAAATTTAATAATTTTAACAATATATTCAAGACAATCATCAAGCATTTAATATCTTCGGGGGAAAATGTATGATCTTCCCAAAGTAGGGTTGTGTGTGTGTGTGTGTGTGTGTGTGTGTGTCTGTGTGTCTGTGTGTCTGTGTGTCTGTGTGTTTGTGTGTGTGTGATGGTCCTAGGGCTTGAACCCAGGGCCTGTGCTTTGTCTCTGAGTTTTTGTGCTCAAGGCTAGCAATCTACCACTTGACCCACAGCTCTACTTCTAGTCTTTTGGTGGCTAATTAGAGATAGAGTCTCATTCCTACTCAGGCTGATTGAACTGAAAATCTTAGCCTAGTGAATAGCTAGGATTACAGGTATGATCCACTGAGCCCTGCTAGGGAATTTCTTTTTTATGGAAAATATGTTTTAAAGCTTTATGATGTATGTAGTTGTATGCAACTTTGAAGGAACTAATCTCTCCTTGTTAGATAACATCTAAGGAATATTATACACAACTTATTTACTACTTTGATATATTTAGATGTGTAAAGATCCCCTAAGACTCTTGGGAAAATGGTTTCTTATTGGGAGAGGAAGGAAAGTAGACTAACAAAGTCATTTGACAAATATCTTGGCTTTACCTTTCAGGTTTTAAGTTGTTTCAACTAGGGATAGCTAAGATGACAGATTAGGTCAATTTTGGTTAGCTTGCTAAGAGAGTCCAAGATCTATGTTTTCACCACCTTCTTTTCTCTAGGTAGCTGTTTAGATTTCTCTTTAGTTCCACTAGCTTTCAGCCCACAAACCAAACATCAGTGGGGTTCCTTCCCTGAGAAAGGTCCTGATATCTTTTAGTATATTCATCAGTTTTCAGTGATGATGAAACAAACTGTTGTTTGGGTTGTCCCATCTTATTGGACTTTCTTATGAATGACTTCAAGACTATAGCCAGTTCCACATAAAATATGTTCTAAGAGATGGTGGTTTTAAAGAAGCTATGGATTAAAAAAGATAAAGGGATTACCTATTATAGAAAAGGAAAAGACAATTTAGAACCGAGCTTCCTGATAGAAAATAACAGTCTTGCCATCCTCTGTGGAAGAAGATAGTATTTTCAGACTCACAAAGTATTAAACTAAAAACCAATCATCAGCTATTGCTGGTGAGTGTCTATTTATCTTATCTTTTTAGATCTCACCCTATTGACATACATATTTGCATCATTATTTAGAATAACCGTTTGAGTGTTGAGGATTTTAATGTTTTTAATAACATTGAGTTTCCTTTTCTGGAAGATCCAGAAGACTTGGTAGGTATCTACTGCACTGTGAGTTTTTAGGTGATAAACCCCAGGAGACTGACAAAGCAGAGCTGGCAGTTAGGCCCGAAGCCATTATCTTAGAACCTTAAACACATTTTAAGTCATTTTAAACATGAAATAATAAACAGTAGTTCTAGGAATTAGATATTTGACTGTTGAAAGAAGTGACCAGATGAAAGGACCAACAAAGGAGGTACAAGTTCATATTTGAGTACATAGCTACCAAGATGGCAAGGGGAGCAAAAGAATAAACTCTGAGACTAAAGAAAATGTTTATGAAGCCAGGCACCAGTGGCTCATGCCTGTAATCCTAGCTACCTGGAAGGTGAAGATGTGAGGATCACAGTTCAAAGGCAGTCCAGGCATGAAAGTCCATGAGATTCTTATCTCTCACCACCATAAAGCTGGATGTAGAACTGTGGTTCAAGTGGTGGAGCACCATCCTTGAGCAGAAAAAGCTCAGGGATAGCACCCAGGCCCTGAGTTTAAACCCCAGGTGTGGCACAAAAACAACAACAACAAAAGATGTTTTTGTATATGTTCTTCCTTTCAACTCAGTGAAGTTCATAAGCCCTATGAATAAAAAACTGTATGTGTACAATATGTCTTTCTTCTCCTAAAACAGTTCCAACAAAACACTGTGTGAAGAATGAGGATGCAACCTAAAGGAAAAGTGAATAAATATGAGTGGTTTTATGAATTCAGAATACCAGGGGAAAAAAGAAGATTTGTATTTACCCAGGAGCTCAAGAAAAGCGATGCTATGTTTGAATGTGTCGCCCCTTTTTTATGTCACTAAATGCCATCAAAGATCTATCAGGCAGGTGTCTCTACACATGACAGCACTCAGGACTTGGTAACATTAGGTGACTTTCTCAGGGCACATATTTTGCACGTGATAGAGAGAACTGCTTGATCTCACAGCCTGTACCTTTTCAGTTACTCAGCTGCAAAACACTGGCCTTCTCTTCCATCAGCTGCTTCTCCCCCTCCTGCGTTCCTAAGGCTTTCTTCTCATGTTACCTGTGACACCATGAACTACAGGTTCTGGCACATTATTTGCCTTCTCTAACTCCAAATCAATTTGTATCTTTACATCAATACTGTTTCACCAAAGAATATGAAATCTCTCTCTACTTGCTATTTCATAATAGTGTGGGTTATTTACTCTGTGGCTTGAACTCAGGGCCTTTCACTCACTCTTGCTTACTTGGACTTGGCTTTTCCACTCAAGTCTTGAGCTCTACCACTTGAGCCACGTCTCCATTTGAGAATTTTTACGAATTAATTCAAGATAAGAGTCTCACAGACTTTTCCGCCCAAGCTGGCTTTGAACCATAATCCTCAGCTCTCTGTTTTCTGAGTGCCTAGGGTTACAGGCATGAGACACCATTGTCCAGCTTGTATGTTTGAATTTGTGTTATGGGAGGAGCTTCCAGTGTCTATCTCCTATGAATGTGAAAGGTAAATTACAAAAAAGCTAAAAGTAAAACTTACTATTACCCAAGGTTAGGGTAATCCAAACATTTATGTGTGACCACTATATCAAGGTATACTATTGCGATTTCCTCATAAGACTTCAACCTGATGAGTCTGACAAACTCTGAAATACAGTTATGATACTTGTTTTCTTAGGAGTGGAGGTAGGTATTTTACGTTTGAAACTGTTTTGTAATGTGAGCATCACTACTTCAAGAAATTCTGCAGTTACTAACGCAGACACTTGTTTGTTTGACCTTAGGACTTGTTTGGTGTCAGCATGGTTGTCCCTTTACTGAGCCTTCATGCCAAGTCCCTTGGTGCAAGTCCCATCGTTGCAGGAATAATAGGTAAGTGGCTAATGCTGCCCAATTATAGAGCACTGAGCTTTACATTCCCTGAACTAAGTGCCCCACGTGACTCCATCTTTAGGCAAGTATCCAAAGGGAAGTGAGAAATGAAACAAAGTGAATTGATAGAATATTGATAAATACAACCCTGGAGCAAATATAGTTCTTCTTTTCTTTGCCTGCCGGTGTTCAGGAAAGTATGAAGTGTGGATGTTATCTCCACATCCCAGGCTGTCAGTGATGCCACTGGTACTTAGTGGGATTCTCCATGGAGTCACTTGTGTACATTAAAGAGCGCTATAGTCTCCAGCCTACAGGAGGAACCAGTTACCTAATGTGAAAGATAAAGACACAGTTTACAAAAGTCCCACCTGGGAAGAAAGGATGTAGGCAAGCCTTAGCATATTCATTGCAAGCTTCCTGCTCCACACTTATACAGGAAGTCTATTATCTTTCTCTGCCTGTACAACATAAAAATTCCATCCAGACATGGTTGATTTATGAAGGTGTCAGGGGTTGGGATTTAGTTCCATGATTAATGAGATATTCTTAAGACCAGCAGTCCTTAGTCAGTTGCAAATTCGACAAGTGAATGTTTGGGGACAATTTTTTGTGCACAACCTTTGTTAAGTTCTACTCTGTGTCGTGATTGGTATTTCCCTTGCAAAATATACTTTGAATTATACTGTACCATCTAAAAGTATATAGATTGAGAGCAAAATAATGACCAGTTGCCAGGCGCTGGTGGCTCACGCCTGTAATCCTAGCGACTCAGGAGGCTGAGATCTGGGTATCGTGAAGCCAGCCCAGGCAGGAAAGTCCATGAGACTCTTTTTTTTTTTTTTTGTCAGTCATGGGGCCTGAACTGTGGGCCTGCGCGCTGTCCCTCAGCTCTGCAGCTCAGAGCTAGCACTTTACCATTTGAGCCACAGCATCACTTCCAGCTTTTTATGCTTATGTGGTGCTGAGAAATCGAACCCAGGGCCTCATGCATGCAAAGCAAACACTCTACCACTGAGCCACCTTCCCAGCCCTCGTGAACTCTTATCTCCAATAAACCACTAGAAAACCAGAAGTGGCACCGTGGCTCAAGCGGTAGAGCACTCGCCTTGAGCTGAAGAGCGCAAGGACAGTGCCCAAGCCCAGAGTTCAAGCCCTACGACCAACAAAAATAAATAATAATAATAATAATAATAATGACCACTTTATTTTTATCCAAGAGAAAAGAAGATATTACTATATGGCCAAAATCCTTCAAAGTAGTTCTTAAATGATCTAGGAAATATTTAACAGAGAGGAATACTTTGTTAATGAAAATATAGAAGTAGCAGAATCTTATTTATCACTTGTTGAAAATAAAGAAACATGTAAACTTAAATTTAAAGTGGAAGAAGGAAAGGAAGGAAGGAAGAAAAAGAAGGAAAGGAGGGAGGGCGGTAAGGAAGGAAGGAAGGAGATGGCAGAATTGAAAATTACACAAATGAAGAATTCAGACAAGAACTTTTAAATGTCCCTATCAAGCAATCAGTCATTGGAGAAGTCATCCAATGATTGCTCCTTCATAATAGTGATTAGAAAAGATGGTATCTTAGAATCTTTTCAATCCAAATGGACTTCATATGTATGAATATATGTTCAAATACAAATATCATGAATAAACACTTCATACATATAGTCTGTCTATGATTTAGACATATAATACATGTAACTTTAAGGCATATAGATTTTTAAGGAAAGGAAGATACTTGTTACATAATAATGTAAGAGCTCTGTAAACCTTGAAGTTTTTAAATAGAATTGAAGCACAATGTTATAGTGTGCATTTTCTTTTTTGTTGCCATTATTTTTCTTAAATGTAGTTTATGGATGTATTTGTGTATACACACACAATTTATATATATTTATATACATTTGTGCAGATGTGTTTGTGTACCTTATTTCATGCATACATTCTTTTCTGTTTTTCTTCAAGACAGGATTTCACTATGTAGCCCAGGCTGACCCAGCACTTGAGATCTTCCTTAACCTCCTGTGCTTAGATTACAGGTGTGCACCACATACTCAACTGTTAGTGCATATTGGTTGTGTAAAGTAATGGTTTCATCGTAACATTTCTATGTATGTATGCTCTGTACTCGGATCATATTCACCCCGCTATTGCTGTTCTTAATTTTTCTGTGATGCTGATTTCTCCTCGCCTTAGTGTGTTCTTTCTAACATTAGAAGAAAGGCTTCACAGTTCTCACATAACAGAAAAAGCTGCCTCTCAGAGTCTCAAGGTTGACCCTTGCTTTTATTTTCTTCGTACCTTCAATTTTACTTTCAAATAACTTTTATTTTAAAAGGTAGTACTATAATTCTCTTCCAATTTACATAAAAGATGTAAAGAAATTTCCTTTTCTGAAAATGGCCTCTTCCCTATAATCCTTTTCCAATTTCTAACTTATTGTTACCATACTTATTTTTGTGACAGTTCTAGCTGCTTTTACTGACATTGGCTTTTTCGGTTTTTTTTTTTTGGGCAGGCTCCTCCTATGGCATTTTACAACTCTTTTCTAGCACATTTATGGTAAGTTACCTTCCATCTGGAAAGAACATAATTGTATATGTATTAAGATCATCCCATAAAATTGAAGATATCAACAATTAGAAATGTCAGTAACTAGACATAGTGTTGCTAGATTGTTAGATCAAGTGAAATATCCTCTATCTTTTTTTGTTCAGTGGCTTGTTCTGAGGGCAGCACACTGAGTCACTGATAGATCTTGGATGAGAACAATTTGTGTGTGTGTGTGTGTGTGTGTGTGTGTGTGTGTGTGTGCACGCACGCACACGCATGCGCATGTGCGGGTGCGTGCACTAGTACTAAAGTTTGAACCGTGGGCCTTCAACTCTCATTTTGTTTTTCTGCTCAAGGCTGGTACTCTACCACTTGAGCCACACCTATACTTCTGGCATCTTGGTGTTTGGAAATAAGACTCTCATGGACTTTCCTGCCTTCCAACCATGATCCTCAGACGTCAGCCTCCTGAGTAACTAGGATTACAGGCATAAGCCACTAACACCTGGAGAGAATAAGTTTTAAATTGTGACATGCTCTTCCTTTGTACTGGAGAGGGAAAAAAGTAGGAATAAAAGATACTACTGGCTTTATTATTTGTTTAACTTAATTGATGATGATTTTATCCATTTACACTTCTAAGATTCTGGGTGGTGTTCTGCACCTTGAACTAAATGCTTTCTTATTTATCAGACCTGTATGAATAGATGGACCGTTGGAGTGGTCTGTTGGTCGGTTGTATATCGATATCATGGAGTAGATAGGTCCAAGGATCTGGCCACTCACTACTTCTGTCCACTTGAAACTGAGAGACCTTCAACTGCTCTTCTTCTCTATTCCTTTCACAGTCTCCTGTGGCCACTCTGGTCTTGAGACCTCAGTGACCAGGCGTCAGAGCATCTCAGTAGGAGTGTCCATCTGCTGTCAAAGATTAATGATGGGTGATTGGTCTACATAATTTCTGGGCAGCTTCACGTTCAGTGACTATAATGTAGATATTCCATACCTGTATTTTCCTGGAATTGCTACCTTATAAAATATATTTGTAAAAAGAAATTCAGATTCAATAATGCAATCTTTTTAATTAATGTGTTAATTGTATAGGGAATTTTATTGTGGCATTTATATTTATATAAATTCCTGTATATAAAATATATATATAAGTAAATGTATATTATATATATATATATGTATATATATATATATACCATAGCCTCCATCATTCTCCTTCATCCTGTCCCCTCTTTTAAAAGAATTTCAACTGATTCTACACAATGAACTCTTAAATGAACAAATAGGTACTCCTTTAGCTTTTTTTAAAGTCTTTAAGATATTATACTTGCATAATAATCCCAATTTTTGTCTCATTGAAACTTTGTATTTCTTTTTCATCTAGGAGGAATTTCTGTTTCATGGAGTTGAAATAATTTGACTAAGTCACCTAATCTCTGCATCCAGACCCTGATCCATGTTTTGTTGGGGTTTTTTTTTGTTTGTTTTTTTCTAAAAGCCGTCTGCCATTGCTTTATTAGTATAAGAAGCATTGAAGGTGTGACTTAGTGGTGGAGTGTGTACATGAGATCCTGGGTTCAATCCTCAGTACCCTCCTAACCATATATATATATATATATATATATATATATATATATGGATGACTAAAGTCCAGTTAAACTGAAGAGAACTACACTTACTAGCAGAATGTGTATTTCATATACTTGTGAAAAATGATGTGGACTGTGTCTCAGCAAAGACCTTTTCTGTTTCATTTGAAACACACTCTCTGAGTGGTTGATGTATATATTACATGTAGGCCAGAGTACATGTTGATCATGCAGGACTTTTCTGACCTCCCTCTGAACCCTGGACTCCTTAGATAAAAGCTAGGCATGACTGATTGATTGATTTCTGTCACTACTATATGATGGGCATTTTATGAATGTGAATTTTTTTGGGGGGGTCCGGTCGTGGGCCCTAAACTCTGGGCCTAGGCGCTGTCCCTCAGCTCTTCAGCTCAAGGCTAGCGCTCTACCACTTGAGCCACAGCGCCACTTCCAGCTTTTTTCTTTTTGCTTATGTGGTGCTGAGGAATTGAACCCAGGGCCTCAGGCATGCAAGGCAAGCGCTCTACCACTGAGCCACCTTCCCAGCCCCTGAATGTGAATTTTTATTGCAAACTCTGACTTTAGTCTTGTTCTCAAATTGTTCCTTTCTATAGTTTGTTTGTTTGTTTTGCTTATATATATGTTTCATATATCTTGTAGCTGGAGTTTAATGAAAAGTTCCCCTAGAAATTCTTCAGATAGAAAAAAATACCTAATTAATATTCCCTCCCTAGCTAAATACATCTTTTATTTATTCCAAGTTTTGTAAGAACCTGTTTTGTTAACTTTGGTTAATTTTTTTCAAAGTATATGTATTTTCATAGAAATGATTAGGGTTATGAAGTCCTTATTGTATTTCAGGTTCTGTTCTGAGTGCTTACATCACTTAATCCTCATAGTAACCAGTGTCAGGGTGGTTATAGATCTTTTAAAAGGGTCATTTACTGTACCCTATGGTATATTGACACCTGGTTTTGACCCCCTTATGCATCAAATATTGAGGGGGAGTCTAATCTGAGGCAGATAGAATTCCCATTTTATAGATAGGCAAACTGAATCTTAGAGAGGTGGATGACTACGTTTTAGGTCGTGTTGGCATATTGGATGACAGGTGTTCAGAGTTGAACTCAGCTTGGCTCAGGGCCCAGAGCATGACTACCGTGTTATTCCACTGTGTGGTGAAGACTAGTAACTAAAAGCCCAAAGATGCTGAACTGAGAAAGATGGGGAAAAGGGGTGATTCTAAAATCTACTGAAATGGAAATTTGGGCAAGAAATAATGATTTGTAGAAGGATAACCATATTTTGGAAAATTTTACCTTCAGAACAACTTATAAAAGAACTTGAGAAAGTGACAGCTTTTATCCTTATGTAGGGAGAGCTTTTAGATCCCTAAGAAAATACATACCAGCAACAGTTAAGAATGGACATGAACAAGTATGGTTGGTTATTAGCAAGGAAGGCCGGGCAGGCAGAGTTTCCATGGTAAGTTGGAAAGTGTAGGGAAATGTGGCTTTTCACTGAGACAGGAAGAGAATGGGAGGTGGCCTCAGTCACCTCCCAGACAAAGTCTCAGCCAGAACTGAGACCAACACTTCGCTTAGGAGCTGTGAGTTATCAGGGGTCACACAGCACCAATGACCTTGTCCTTGACTCTTTTCAGACAGTGCTTCATTGCTGTTATAATAATTAACAAGCTTTGTTTTAAGACAATTACACTTTCTTCAAACAAAGCTTCACTTTGAACCTCAGTATGTAAAGTGGGTCAAGGTGAAGGTTCTCTGGTTGAGCTGGAAATAATGGTAACAAAACACCTTCCAGGAGTAATTAGAAAAAGTGAAGTTTGCCGCACCCAAGACTATTCTGAGTTGCCACAAGAAGACTAGGCCCCCGGCTATCTATCCTCTTGGCTGTCTAGTATCTAGCGTCCTGGGGAGTTCTCATCAGGAAGAAGGGAATGAGGAGGAGAAAAAGGCTGACTTAGCCACCATAGCCCGCCCTCTAAAGGATATTCGCAGATGCTCACCTGGTGGCTTCCTGTACTCCTAGGTCTCATTTTCAGCATTTAAGCAAAGCTTGTTTTTGTCTCACCTGAGTGTGCTGCTATCAGATGTGGAGAATATCTTAGTAAAGAATAAGCTGCAGAACCTCGGGGAAGGGAGGGAGGGTGGGGATGGTAGGGGGAAAACAATGGAGGGGGTAACAATGTTCAAGAGGAAGTGTACTCATTACCTTACTCATGTAACTGTAACCCTCTGTATAGTATCTTTACAATAAAAAAAAAAAAAGAGTAAGCTGCAAGAGTGGGCTGGGGGCCTGCTCCCTTGCTGTCTTCCATCCCAACAGTATCTTGTTACCCACCCTGGGGCATGTCAGGACTCCAGGCAGCACACCTTTACCTCTTTGTGCCCTCTCTGTCTTCCACATGCACCCTGCTTGCTTCGTTCTTCCCTTAGGTGCTTCTCAGCTTCTGCTTCCAGTGGGTTCTGTTTTGTCTCCCTACCTAGCGGGTACCACTGAGAGTAGCCTTCCTTGCAGAGCAAGTTTCATTCTGACCCACCGCGGTCTAACCAATCCTGATTTGATGAAGGAATGATGTAGACGGGAGTCTGTGCCAGGTCAGACTCCCAGGTACGGGCATTACAACTGTCAGGTCCATCAGGCTGCTTGCTGCTCTGGAGAAAATATGAGTAGTGTGCACAGATTAACATGTGAAAAGCATACCACTCCAGAGTTTCTGCATAGCAGACTTTAAAACCTCAGTAAGGCCAAAATAATTAACTAATAATTAGTTTAATACATTCCACTTAACAAACTTGTGGATTTTTTTGCAGATGTGTTCAATATTAGAATATATAGAAATAGACTGAGTTATACTGCTATGGGATTGTAGGTCTTTCTAGAAAGTAATACCATCAGTGCATGCCAATGCATGAATATGCCTATCTTTTGAGCAAAAAGTTCCAGTATTCCCACTTTATTTTAGGGCTTGTTCAAGGACATTCACAGGAAGTTGGCTGTGAGGGTACTTATTATGGCATTATTTATGCTTTTGACAAATTGAAAAGAACCCCCCAAAACCTAAAATATATAGATTCTACTTATTAGAACATGAGATATGATTTAAAAAATGGTAAAAACAGAAAAACCGTCACATTGAAATTATACTGGTAAGTAAAAAGCAAGTTTGTTTTTTTAAAACAGAGTATTAGATGACTGTTTTCTTAAAATATCCAGTGTGAAAGTTTGAGATCATGAGGTGCTTTTTTAAATTCTTCATTTTGTTTTTTGTTATTTTCTGAATTTCTCAACAACAAACATAGTTTCTGACTTTAATCATATACAATGGTAATAAAGAAAAACCTGAGACTTTATATCTCATCTAGATCTTGGGTCTCTCCCTCTAATTCTGAGCTACCAGATCATCAGGTTTTGTTTTGGAGACAGAGATAACAATGTGATTCTCCCACTCACATTGTGTGATGATCAGGGAAAGTAACTTCTCTAGCAGTTGGTGCAACATTCAAGCATCTAAGGATCCTACACTAGATTTCCTGGCATTTTTCACTGAGTCATGCTGCATTGGGCACTCACATGGTGGTGGTCATTGCAGGTTTCTGTTTCTTACTTTTTTCAGGGCTGCTGGAGTGATGTAGTTGGAAGACGAGTCTCCTTGTTGGTGTGCATTTTGTTCAGTGCCCTGGGGTATCTCCTTCTTGGAGTTTCTACCAATGTCTTCCTGCTTGCCCTGGCTAGAGTCCCTGTGGGTAAGTGCTGTTCTGTGTGTGTCTGTGTGTGTGTGTGTGTGTGTGTGTGTGTGTGTGTGTGTGTGTGTGTGTGTGTTTTCGTTGAAAATAAACCTCTCATTCTACACCTAAACCTATCCCTGCTTGACATTGCCTTTCTGATGAGACCTTACGTACAGAAGTATAAAGATAGCCACACCGAACGCAGTATAGCTCTTAGCATTGAAAGACACTCTGCTGACTTGTTTAAAGCTACAAACCTTGAACTTGACAGAGTCCAGAATCCCCCAAAGACTGTCAGTGTCCCAACACTTGCTACCACGGTGACAAGTCATCCTCTGACTTTTCACTCAGATTGAAAGAATGTTTTATATGTCTGGCCAGGACTATGATTAGCAGGCCTTCTCTATGACCTTTTAGTTTTTATAACAGGGCTTCATGTTATACAACTTCCTTGTAGCCATTAGCTTTCTTGTAGTGTTCCGGAAATCTGGCTGCTGGTTAGGGGAAGGGAGAACCTAACGTTACAAGAGAATAGTTAATGAATTGGTTTTCTGTTGAGCTTGACTATTTATAACATTTTAACTCATTTTTTTTTTTGTTTTTCTTTGCATTTACCGAAAGAGTTTTCCTATTATTGGAAATACCACCCTTAGGTATCCGATGGGTGGATAGCTTTTATTCCCTCCTTGTATTTTTTTTTTAAATTGTGAGAATACCATACAGAGGAGTTACAATTACATGGGCAAGATAACGAGTACATTTCTTATCAAGCATTGTTGCCTACTTTTTGTTTCCCCTTCCCATCCCTTCACATACTCCCCGCTCAGTTCTCCCCCCACTCCCCACCAAAGTTGTAAAGTTCATTTTTCGACATAATGACTTGTACATCTCATTGTTGCAATGGGTCCACCTATATCCCTAGTTAAACGATTTGTTTTTTCTCTTCCCCTCCACTAATTATACCAACATCAAATACAGTGAAAGCATGGGTTATACTGTGGGGGAGGGACATACAAAGCAACATAGAAATCATCTTATAAATATGTTAGAAACAATTGCATGAAAGGGGAAAAAAAACACCTTGTATTTTTTTTAAAGCAACACTTTTCAGTGTTTCTTTTTTTACCTATTAGAGTATGGACAGACTTTGCTACCATGATCCACAAGTCTGTAGCACTGAACAACAGCCCACATTCAGTTAAACTGCTTGTTCTAAATTAACAACACACATAAGTGTAGATTCATGCTAAATCATTTAACGTACCATCAGTGAACTGCTCATTTGAAATTTTCATACCATATTTATGACATGTATATTTACCCTGAAAATCCATTGCATTCACCTGCCAAAATCCATATTGTATGTTTTTATGTTGACTAAAAATGCTCTACAGAGTCTTGGCTTAAATGTACCTAATGATCCTAACAAACTCTATTACCATGTATGATCTACAATTAATAGCATTCCATGCACCTCTGATATTGGATGTAGAATGTGTTCCTGATTTGGCTGGCCATGTATTTTTCTGTAGTACTAACCTCCTGTACCCCATCATCAGTGGTATGTACTTTTCCTAACTCCATAGAAAACTGATGAGGGAGATGAATGAGAGCATAGCTTTGTTACAAAATGGGTAGAGATAGATGGGGATGATTAAACTGTTTTTGTTTAGTGTGAAATCAGTCTGTCTAAAGGGTAATAGTTCTGTCATATGGACATCCCTGCCAACAGGGGGAGCTATACATAAAATTTCCACCTAGCCCATGTGACCTTCATGATGTTTGGAGGTCAAGATGGAGTCTGGAGTAGTTCTAGGATTCTGCTGCACAAACTCCATTGTAAATTCTGATCCTCTGTCCTGAATATTAGTCCCTGACTTGGACTGTGCCTAAGCTGGTTTTGCACTCACCACCTGTTAAGTGATGAGAATTCTCATCTAGGCTGTTCACAGGCTACTCTTTCCATGGCCTTCTTTCCCAGCATGTATAAGGTGAATCCCACATAGATGTGTCAAAGAAAAATCACACTGTTCCTGTAAGACCTCTGGGGAATCATCTTCCAGCCTGGCCCTTTCTCATATTTAATCAAACACATCTAGGAAGAGTGAGTGATTCTTCCTAATTCTAAAAGAGTTTGGCTATCTGGCAAATGCACACTAGTTTTTAGACAGAGCTAGGAAGAGACCCAGTAGTAATTTGGCAGAGCAAGACATACAGCGCTGTGCTGTGCAGTGTGCTGTTGTTTATAAGAATGGGTGCAATAGCCACTGTAGCACATCCCAGTTCAGCTTGTGTGGAATTCTTGCTCACAAACAGCCTGTTTCCATAGTCTATCAACTTTATACAAACATATGTGTCCCCTAACTGGGTGTCTGGGTATTGGGGGGAGGGGTCAAACACATCCCCAGGAACCAGGAATACTACAAAAGCAAGCCACGGCTCTCAGGCCGTTTGTTCAACAGATCTGTGAGCCTCTTTCAATTAGAAAGCAGTTGGTATGGGTTGAGTGATTCTGCCCATGCCCTATCCTCTTACCTGCTCTTTCTCCCCATAGCTTTTATCACCTTCTAATATATACTCTATATTTACCCCAAATGAAAACTAAGGCTGTGTGAAGGCAGGCATAGCTGTCTTTGGTTGGTTTTTACTTTTTGCTTTCTTGACCTTAGTTTGTTGCTTTTACCCTAAGTTCACTGTCAATGTTAGATGTACAGTAGACATGCTGTTCATCAAGTGAGTGGATAAAGAACAATAACTCATATCTACGGAGAAGCTATCATGATTGCAGCTGAGTGACAGAGAGTATCTTGACAAGAGGCAGGCAGGCTGCAAGATTTGGGACATGCTAGTAGATACAAGGTGACCTAGCATGGCTATGACACTAGCCCAAGAGTCCAGTTACAGTGGGGGTGGGTTCTTCAGTCTTTAGTGGTTCAAAGAAAATGTAGGTCAGAGCTCCCTCTAGGACAGTGAGGATCACAAGGGAGGTCCGTTTGCTGCGGAAAAAGTTACAGACTCTGTTTCTTTTTCCTTTGCAGGGATTTTTAAACACACACTCTCCATCTCCAGGGCTCTCCTTTCTGATCTGGTTGCAGAGAAGGAGCGGCCACTTGTGCTGGGCCAGTTCAATACAGCTTCTAGCATGGGCTTCATCTTAGGCCCCATGGTTGGTGGGTATCTCACTGAATTAGATGGTGGATTCTATCTTACAGCCTTCACCTGTTTCTCAGTCTTCCTTCTCAATGCTGGTAAGTTGACATTTAAGCATGACTACTCTACCTATAAGGAGACAGATTCATTGATCAAAAGTGAAAGTCAGCCAGGTGTGGGTAGCTTACACCTGTAGTCCTCGCTCTTCAGGAGGTTGAGGTCCAACGGTCTCAATTGCAAGCCAGCCTGGACAGGAAAGTTTGTAAGACTTTTATCTCCAGTTAGCCACCAAAAAGCCAGAAGTAGAGCTATGGCTCAAGTGGCAGGCCACTAGCCTTGAGCAAAAGAGCTCACAGACAGTGCTCAGTCCCTGAGCTCAAGTGTCCCCTCCCCTCCCCACACACACTTTTCTGTTATTCTCCAAAGTTGCTGAACCAGTTTTTATTTCCTACAGTTCTATGCCAGGGTTGTCTTCCCTCTCCATCCTCACTATCACTTACATATTTTGTTTTAAAATAAGAACCTTTCTAACAAGGATGAGAGATAACATGTGATTCTGTTTTAACTTGTATTTTCTTGATTCTTAGTGAGGTTGAATACACCTTTTGACCATGCGCTAGTCTACTCTATTCTAGTCTTTTGCACATGTTTTTGTTTGCTTTCTTTTTTGTTTGTTGGGGGTTTTTTTTGTTATTGATGTGTGGGCCTATCTGCATATTTTGGATATTAATTATTAGGTATTAGATTTACAAATAACTCCCATTCAAACACTGCTTTTTCATTTCAGTGATGATTTCCTTTGCTGCACAGTAGCTTTTAAATTTGGTGGACTTGTTATATCAGTTTATGCTTTTGTTATCTGTGTGTTGACTCTCCTATCTAAGAACTCATTGTGAAGGCTAACTTTAAATTTCTTTCTTCCTTTATTCTTTTAGAAGTTTTACAGTCTTAGGGTTTGTGTTGACATTTAATCTATTTTGAGTTTATTTTTTATATGGTCTAAAGTGCTTGATCATGATGTATATTCTCAGCTATAATTTAAATGAAAAGAGCTGCTTTTGTTATGAAAGTGTTGATTGAAAATTTTAATAATGTGATATATATAATAATGTATATATATATATATACTGTTATATATACTGTTATATATACTGTTATATATATATAATAATGTAACAACAACAAAAGACTATACCACCCCTGCCACAGACTCTGTGGTGGCTTCCCCATCCTGGTAAAAGACAAATGTCATGCCACCCAAGGGGATGGAAGGCTCCACCCACTCTCCACTCTGCCAAGTGCCTTCCTGGTCTGCCTCACATATGCCAGGCTGACTTTCAAAGATGGCATTATACTGGCTCATTTCTCTGCCTGCACTGGCTCACTGACTTCCCATCATTCAATTCTCAAATTTGCTTCCGATCCTCTCTCTGATCATTCAGCCTAAACTAGTTCACTTTTTTATAGTACTTCTGAAATTTTATTATCTTACTTTGTAAGACTCTTATCTCTAATTATTCTATTTGGTCTCCCTGCTCTACATGTAATCGCATGCACACACACACACACACACACACACACACACACACACACACACACACACACACACACAGTAAGCATACACACGCAGAGTAAGCTAGCTGATTTTGCCAGATCTGCACAGAATAGGCCAGACCCATAGCAGATGGTCCATACTACTCAATGAATGAAAGAATACCTTCTGAGCTGTGGGCTTCTTGGATTCAGGCCAGGTGGTCAAAGCCCATTTCTTCCTCTTTGCACAGAGGACTAGGCATGGCCAGTCCTTGGGTAAATAACTTTGTAAACAGGAAAACTCATACTGTTCAGCTTCCTGTATACTTAATTCTACTTCACTGCAACTTGGACTCTTCAAATTGAAAACATGATGTTGAACAGTGAATTTCATGTTGTGTTAGGATATCAGATTCAGGAAGTAAAATTTATGAGTTTAATCTCTGTTTTCATTGGATCTCATTATAATTTTCTTCAAGTATAACGTCAGTCAAAAGAGCAAGCCTGATGTATGGGAGTAAAATCTAGATAAAATTACTTCAAACACAGGATCAATGGGTGCTGCCAGTATCTTCACATAAAAAGAATGGCATGTGAATGGGACATCACTGAAAGGTGAAAATGAACATAGCAGCAAACAATTACTATGGAGTTCTACAGTAGTTTTGATTTTCTGGGATAGTGCTGCTTAATATTTGCCCTACCTCAAGCCTTTGAGTAGATGTTGTCTCTTAGTAATCCACTCCTGAATAGTTGTTGGTGTTCCCCACTCCAATGGCTGAAAGTAATAGGGATTTACTTTTTCCTCTTAAGAAATCTAGATGGAGGCAGGCTTCAACTGTTCAGGGCTGGACCTCAGATGAGCTCAGAGGCTGCCACCCAGTGCAGCCAATAGAATGCAAAGCTGTTTACTCCTAGTTTGACATCTTTTCCTCCCCAGTGACCACCACTGTTTTCCTTGGTCCTCTGACTCTGTCAGCTTTCATATCTTTGCTCTGATCTGCCACTTTGCTTGAGAAAGCTTTTTCACATCATTTTTCTCTTTTAAGTTCTGACCTTCTGGTTAAGAATGCAAACTTGAGGCTCTTACAGACTGAAGTTCAGTTCTTACCTTGCTCATTTTTATCCCTAAGATAGGGTAACAAAATAATTCATAGCCCTGTTGTGAGAGCCAGAAGAGAGCTGAGTGTATAGCTCAGTGATAGAATGCTTGCCTAGAATTCACAAGGTCCTCAGTTCTATTCCCAGCACTACAAAGCAAAAAAAATAAATAAAGCAAAATAAAAGCCACTAACAATAGCACAGCAACAATAAATTGGAAGAACGTTAAATAATAAGCAGTTTACCTGAGTGCCATGAGCCCTCACAGGATAGTAGCTGGTATTTACTGCCACCATCTACTACTCTTGATTTTTATCCCATCAGCAACCATTTTTCCATTGTTTTTGTTGTTGTTGTTGTTATTGTTGTCAATTGTGGAGTTTGAACTCAGTGCCTGGGCACTGTCCCCAAGCTCTTTTGCTCAAGGCTAACATTCTACCACTTTGAGCCACAATGCCACTTCTGATTTTTGAGTGGTTCGTTTAGGAGATAAGAGTCTCACCAGGGCTTTTCTGCCCGGGCTGGCTTTGACCCGAAATCCTCAGAGCTCAGCCTCTTGGGTAACTAGGATTACAGGCATGAGCCACAACCTCCTCAAGATTCTGTGAAGTGTCCAAGGACCCTTTTGAAAATATGGACAGATAAAACATTCACATCTGTATTCTGTTTGGGTCAGTTTTCTGTCATAAACTTGTTTGTGACTGACACTCTTTTTTTTTTTTTAATTTTTCGTCAGTCGTGGGGCTTGAACTCTGGACCTGGGCACTGTCCCTCAGCTCTTTAGCTTAAGGCAAACACTCTACCACTTGAGACACAGCGCCACTTATGGTTTTCTGGTGGTAAATTGGAGATAAGAGTCTCATGGACTTTCCTGCTGGGCTGGCTTTGAACTGTAATCCTCAGATCTCAGCCTCTTGAGTAGCTAGGATTACAGGCATGAGCCACCAGCTCCTGGTTTGATACTCTTATACAATATTTGGAAAAACCACCTACACAAATGAGGTTGTTGAAAATAATATGACACACAATTGAATAACCATGACATAGAACAAATATAGCAGAGATAGAACATTTCAATCATGGGGGTTGAATAGGGGTGGGATTTATCTGGGTGGTGGTCAAACCTGCTTCATTGAGGCTAGCAGTCATGATCTGTGAGAACAGTGTCCCCTGTAGTCCTGATGAAGGGAGAGTCCAAGCAGGTGTTAATTATTGATGGTCAATTGCTAGCAAGGCCCCTGTCTACTCCCAAGCCAAGGCTACATATAGCAGCTCATGCCTCCTCCAACATGGCCATTTCACTGTAATCCAATGACTATTTACTTGTTTGGACCTCTTTTATATTCATTTTTTCTTGGGATAGGACTTGTGTAGGACAAGACTCTTTGTCTTCTTTGTTAATGTATGCCTAGAGTTTAATACAGAGCTTGGCTCTTAAGAAGAACTCTGTAAATAATGGATGAAATGGATGAATGGATGGAATGATATATGGATAATGGATGGATGGATGGTGAATGTTTGGATAGATGATGGATGGTGAATGGATGGATAATTGGGCAGATGATGGATCAGTAGTGAATTAGAAAGTTGATGAAGAATTCAAGCATAAATGTATTTATCAGAGTTTCATAATGAAGTGGTGGGTTATAGTAAACCATTGCAAGATTTTGAGCTGAGGAGAAAGTGGTTGTATTGTATATAGTTTGGGTGTTTTTAATAAAGGTAAAAGCCATCCATTGCTACACTTGTTAGGTCATAGAAGACCTGTGGAAATGGTGGAAAAACTGAGATAAAAAGAAAGCATAGATTAGTAAATGTGCAGAAATACAGATTGGTAGTCTGTGCACCTAACTGTTTGATCCCCTGTGAGATCTAGGAATTCAGAGCATCTGGCCCACTTTGACAGGTCTTGTACCATCTTAACAGGTCTCGTTTGGTTATTGCCTTGGAGTGAAACAAAACTCAACAGTTCAACGAATGGCCTGAGATTGAATAAGAAACACACGCTGTTGGGAAAGATATTACAAGGAACAGCCACCGTCCCAATGGCCACCACGAATGAACAGCCTGCTAAGCAGCCCTGGCTTCAAGTCCCGTCAGTCTTGCAGGACATGCGGAGTCTGCTGTTTTCTGAAATGTGGCACATATTTCTCGTGCGCTTGCTCATGGGTGTGGCCGTCATGCTGTACTATAGTAACTATGTCTTGGCCCTGGAAGATCGCTTTGGGGTGCAGCCCAAGACCACAGGATACCTCATCAGTTATAGCAGCGCCCTGGGGGCCCTGGCTGGATTCACCCTGGGGCCCATCCTGAGTCTGTACAAGCACAACTCACACAGGGTCCTGCTCCACTCGAGCACTCTCACCTGTATGCTGTTGCTACTCTACGCCACGGCCCACACCATGGCTGTGGTTGTCTTCTCCTCCACGCTTCTGTCTTTCTCCACCGCCATCGGCAGGACCTGTGTCACCGATCTCCAGTTGAGCATGGGTGGCACCCAGGCCAGTGGCACTGTCATCGGCTTGGGGCAGTCTGTGACAGCTGTAGCCAGAATCATTGCTCCTCTTCTCTCAGGAGTGGCCCAGGTAGTCAGCCCCTGTGGTCCCCCCATCCTAGGGGGTGCCTTAGCCATGGTGGCAATTTTCTTAATGTCACTAAACACACCTCACTGTAGTGGCGACAGGAGTGGTAAATTAAAGCATGAGTAGGATGGATAGGGACAGCATAAAGAAACCAAGTTGGAGGTGTGGACATCAGGGACAAAGGCCATAACTACAAGAGCATTTCAGAGAGAGTGGGTGGAAACAGTGCCCCGGAGGGTGTGCTCAGCCCTCAGCTGTGCAGTTATGCCTGTGGGACCATCAACAGTGACAGTGACCCATAGAAAAGTCACAATTAGAGCAGCTTTACTAGCAGGGACCATATTTATGATTCACCTAAAAGGCCCTTCCTCTTGTCCAAGCCACCAAAGGGAAGAAAGCTGCCATCGAAAAGAGAGAGAAATGGTGGAATGACAAGCCATGATATGTAGGAGAGAAGAAGTAAAATGTTGTTTAAAATAATAGCATAGCGTACAATCATGTGCTGATCACCCAGAGCCTGGGTTACTGGCTAAACCCATAAAACTAAGGGAAAAGGGATTCTTGTGTCAGAATCCTAGAGATTGATGAGGCTGATTTATTAAAACCAGCCTGGAGCTTTCTCAGAGCTGGTGAAAAAAAAAAAAATCAGACACCAGCCTCACTGTCCCCTGCCAGTGATTCACTGGCCAACGAATCTGGTGTTTTAAGTACCAGTGAGACTTAGTAGTAGAGACTTCAAGATTTAGTAATTTTGATGGAAATAAAAGCCAGAGGCTTGGCTAGTTTTATTAATTACTAGCTGAATTTGACTGTTACAATCATGTGTTCATGATTGTAACAATTTGTTACTCTTTCTTGGTTCTTGGGATCATTCTTGGGCCTGATGCCTATCTTCTTGCAAACTGCTCCCTCTGCAGGTAAGACATCACACTGCTCGCTGTGAAACCAACAGTCTGGCATTCTGTGGTTCTAGTGTCCATAAACTCTGATGATGCAAAGTCCAGAAATATTTTTAAGTTAAATATTTTTAGCAGAACAAGGGCCAAGTGAGAAGCCATTATAGAAGAACTTGAGTCTACAGAGTTTTTTGATCTTTTTCATTTTAATTTTGTTTATGAGGAGGACCATCTTGGATGGTGGGGGAAGAGTTTTGGTGTGCCTCTTACTCCTTATCTAAACTGTCTAATAGGACCCATGGGAGAGGCCCAGTAGAAGGGTTACACGGGTTCATAGGGATTCAAGACCTGGGAAACCTCCTGTACATGCAAGTACTTTGATTGCTAATAAAACTTTACTTAAGGGCCTCTCTTTTCCTTACATTCCCTCTAACTCTTATTTAGTCCACTAGAATATTATTTTTTCAGCTGAACACACAGAATCATAATGTTTTTTGTGCATTAATTTGTCATAACTTGAATTATTTTTTATAAATCAGAAGAAATATCTCCAAAGTTTTGAATGTTGTAGGATCAACTCAGATAGTTGTAGCAAGTGAAAGTGTTTTAACTAGGCAGCAGTGGCTCATACCTATAATCCTACTTGGTAGGCTGATATCTGCAGGATCATGGTTTAAAGCCAACCTAAACAGAAAAGTCCAAAAAAACTCTATTCTCAAAATAACCAGCAAAAAGCCAGGCTGGAGGTATGGCTCAAATGTTAGAGAGCCAGCTGAGTTTGTATATATGTTTTAGGAGATCATCCTTTTTCCTCTTTGGTGGCAAGAAAGATAATTACATTTTCAGTACAAATTATATTTGGGAACTTGTACTCATTGTGAAGTGCTTCTGAAGATAAAAAAAAAGTGAAATGACCTTGTTTTTAAGGAACACTGAATGTCAGGGAAATTAGCCTGCCAAGGATGGCAAATAATCAAAGATTCATGCACTGGAGTAAAATTTCAGAATAGTTTCTCCAAAGATGCTCTTTCCTTCACACTCAGAAATGTGTGATTTTCTGAAAAGTTCTTAAACAACCCTTCTTATATATTTTTTTAAATCATTGCTCTTTATGTTTTAAATTACATGAATCTTATAAACCTGAGGATTTATTATTAATAAGATATAAAAATATGGAAAACCAAAGATCTTAGTATATAGACTCAGGAAGCGTTTTTGTTATAATGTACTAGTGATGTCCGAGAAGCTGATGGTAAGAAGATCTTTTTACATTTCTTCCTACATGACTAAGTTCTGACTGGCCACATGGTGGTCCAGGGACTGGCAATTTCAACATTGCCTGGGAGCTGGTTATGTGTGCAGACACTTAAGCCCTTGCCTGCACAGGCCTGCTAAGGACCATTTAAATAAGATGAATAGCTGATTTGCTGGTGCCATAAAGTTTGAGAACTGCTAGCCTAATGAATGGTACTTATATTGTCTGTGGAATAAATGATCTCAGGGAAATTAAATCTGCTCTATTAATATGTGTGTTGTTTTGTTCTTTAAATTCACTCAGGTCACTTCCATAACCCTTTCCAAAGGTGAGCTACATGAAACTGTCATATTAGTCAAAAATACCTTCATATAACTTAGCTTGCTTAGTATGTTTACGAAAGTGAAAGCAATCCTTTCCAACATCATCACCCTTCATGTGGCAGTGCTGAGCAGAATGGTTTGTAAGTGCTGTGGCACAGAGCAGGGAGTTCAAGGTTTCAAACACATGGCTTTTCCCAGAGCAGAAAGGGGTCACATGGCTTTTCCCAGAGCAGAAAGGGATCCTTTGTGCTGACATCCAAAGGATGAGTAAAAGTCTGGCAACAGGGTGTGTCTGGCCATGGGAATGACTCACTGCAAGGCTCCAGACCTAGGCTAGATGACCTGGACAATGAAGTGTGCAAGGGTTACACTAAAGGAGCTTGGAATTCATTGGTTCTCTACCCTGTAAGCCCAAGAGCTCAGGAACCAGAAGCATGGGCCCTAGGTGTTTGTGTACACACACTGTAGACAATCACTGGGGTACCTCCAGAAGGGGTTCATTCACCATGCATGGGACTGAGATCATAATAAGTTAAGGGGAAAAATGAAAATGCATGTTATGTGAAGACCCTCCAGCTGCAGCAATGAGGATTTAGAGGTGGAAGGACATGCAGTCTGGACTTTGATACAGGATCCACTCATGGGAGCCCTGGGAAACAAATTGGGCACAGGGATGAGTAATAGCAGAAAGGGAAGAGGAGGAAGCTTTCCCTTGATTTTGGGAGGGGCTGTGGTGACACCAGTAGGTCTGATGAGTGTCCAGTGTCCTTTGCCCTGCCCCTTATTAACCTGCAGAGAACATGAGTGGGTGGTGATCATAGCTCGCTCAGTCTCTGGAGAAGCTCTCAGAGTACTGTGTCTGCCTGAGGACACTTGTGTGAGATATTCGGAAACCTACAGGATGTGAGATGGTGAGGGCTGTGCATGCTGGAGGTGGCTGGGCAGCTGGAATATGAGACCCACTGCTTATTTGGAGTGCATGGTAAAGCCATTGGGGTAGTTCTTTACATCGCATCCTGGCAATAGCTAACTTTGCCATAACTGTTCAGCAGTCTCTCTAACAGATGACTCCAGAATACCCCAAGGTTGAAAATGACACAGCTCTTACTGAAATGGTGACAATCTGAAAAAAGAAAGCAACATTTTATTCTGCCCTATTGTTTTTTTTTCTGAAGAACTTGCCAAGTTGCATGCTAATTTTTTCTCAGTAATAAAGGTATAACTAGCAATTTGAATAAATTTTTGAAGTCATTTTTGTATCCTGATACATATTTAATTCTGCATGCTTAACAACCATGTAAGCTAAAGCACAGATCAATAGTAAGAATCATTTTGCTTTTATACCCATTATAAGGTAATATCAAATAAGTACATAATCTGAAATTTATATGGATAGCCAGAAAATAGAATGATTTTGAGATAACATCATAGTAGAACTTTCTTACACAGATTCAAAACTACTCTGAATAATATTACTATATTTTAAACTATATTGCTTCCTAGTCACAGAAAATTTGAACTCATTGAACATTTTCTAATAGCTTTCTATGAAGACAATAATAAAACGTTCTGCTTTTCTGAAGCTATACTTGGTAAGAAATCAGAGATTTTTGTGTGCTAGTCCTGGGGCTTGAACTGAAGGCCTGGGTGCTGGTCCCGAGGTATTTTACTCAAGACTACCTCTTTCTATCACTTGAGACACAGCTTCACTTCCAGCTTTTTGATGATTAATTGGAGATAGAGTCTTTTGGACTTTCCTACCCAGGCTGGCTTTGAACCACAATCCCCACATCTCAGTCTCTTTAATAGCTAGGATCACCAGGCATGAGCCACCAGCATCTGGCTAACTAGTAATTTATGTAGCATAAAAGTGAGCTGAAAGGATCAAGTTTGAACAGAGAATTGTGTTTTCCTTAGTCCCGATTTAAACTATACTGTTAACATAGGAAGATCGGTAGGCATGAGCAGGAACAAGAAATGCCCTGAGCTGTCAAACTCCATTTTAAACATCCAGATGGTCTACACCCTGGGCCAATGATTAAGATGGTCACTCCCTCATAGATCCCACTCCCCAACTCAAGGATAAATTGGGGAGGATAATAAAGATCAAATGTACAGGTGTAAACTTTCCCAAACACCTGGGCAGACATTGTGCAGTACCTAAACCACATGGAGTGGGCTACAGGGGAAGGCCCAAAGTTTAATTCCACTCAGTCACCCCACACTATTGGAAACAACCTCTGAGCCTGTAAGACAGCTTCCACATTCATTTGAACTTCTCTAACTGCTCTCCTACCTGCTGGAGGGGTGTACTGTTCCTGTTCACATAGTTGACTCAATTGCCCACCTCGTGTCTGCCTCCAGGTGTACTTTACCTTTTCTATAAATCGCTCATTATTGTGTTCCTACTCTTTATGGCTCTCTTTGCTAAACCTGGGGCAGTGTTCTTAAGCACTGAACCCAATAACCAAGGACATCTGGAACATCTCATTCACTGGTAGTAATACTAACATCTTGATAAAAATTCTTCCTGCAAAACATGTCCAGCTGCTATCACAAGAAGCACTTTACAGGTGCCCTTTAACACGTCAGAATTTTCATCATCTGGTGTCTTGTGCCATTGCACCCTTGTTAAATAAGGGTTACTTAAGACCAGGCACTTCAGTACTTTGGCAATTGATCTGATAGCCAAGATGACTTTGAAGTCCCTAGCAGATGGGTAGCAGAGTCACTATGGACACACTGGATGAATCAGTGCCTCTCATTTTGAGAGGCACAGACTGGGATGGTGCAAGGTTTCACCACTCCACCTAGAATGCTGTACATTTTAAACGGATGAATTGTCTATGTCTGATATTTTTCCATGTAGTGTTTTCGAATCTCAGAAGTAGCTGAAAGTATGCAAAGTGAAATTGCAACTGAAAAGAGAACTTCCATATTCCATGTTAAGTTCTTGAGACTCAGTAGCCAGCTTTCTTACCTACACCTGTCCTGAGCTGGCTTAATGAAATTAAAACCATGTGAAATACCTAAAATTAACCTAGTGTGGCCAATGTGTTCTGTTGATGACTACGATCTGGCTCTCATGGGACTATTTTTCTTTTTATTCTTATGAGTGACTTTACAGAACCATTTTTTAGATACTACTGTGGACATATTACATGCTTGACATACAATTTTTGAATACAAATTCTTAAAATTTATAATAGGACATCTAATAAATCAGGTTTCATTGTAATGAATCTGAATTTCATATCTCATTCTCTTCTAAATAAATAATTTTGATCTATAAACATGGAAAATATTACACTTCATGGTACCACAATACACAAGCCAGAGGATTACAAGTACAAATGGAACTTCAATTTAAAAAGCATCCTAAAAACATACTGATCTGAAATTTATAGAAAACCAAATGAACACCAATAGTTGTGTTCCTGCTGTTTGTTTATTTAGGCTGCAGGAATTTTAAGGAGCTTTTTTGTAGAAACTTGAATGTATGTTGCTGAGAATGCATTCCTTTCTCCTAATGCCACATATTCACTTGTGTACTTAGTAGTCTGTTCTAGGAGTCCAGAGCACAGGCCTAGGTATCACAGAATCAAGCTTATGGCAGACACTCTGTGACATCATTGACAAGGAAAAGTGATTTGTTCAGTGTGCTTTCATTAGATCATCTTTGGAATGAATAATACATTGACAAAATTCCAAGAGGTGACTTTCACTCATAATTGAATAGTTTTTGAAGAAGAATTTTATGGGAATTTGATATATTCACAGAGAGAGACAGATGGAGCTGTTACTTTGTTTTTCATAATACCTATTCAGAATAGATATTTATAATTGTTTCTTCCACCATGTGTTTGTAAAAATACAGTTTAAATAAATACATTTTGATGAATAGTTTTGAATTAATGTAACATGGTTTTAACAGCCTGAAAATGCAGTCATTTTGAAAACAAAATTTCCATTTTCTCCTAAGAAAAAGGCTTAATATGTAATGTACAGAAGCCCAGCAGTAAAGAAAGGCAATGGCAGTAGCAAATACAATACATGTACATGACTATTAGTAAACATGTATTATGAAGACAGGTTTTCACATGTACTAGTAAAAACCTAAAATTTGGTGGGTTCATTCATAGCACTACATAATATAAAAGTCATTTGGTGAGATAACAATTGTCATTAACTCTTTTTGGACTGCTTTGGGACATTAGTATTTCAGAGCACACATTATAATAGAATCCTTTACAAGACTCAAGTTTCATAGAAAAAGTAATGATCAGTATCTTGTTTTGCTAATCAAGTGCTGTTACATAGTAATGGTGTTTGCTAGCCTCATTTGAGATAAATATATTTGACACTAATAGAATTAAAAGATTATAGCTACAATGAATCGTACTTCAAAGCACTTTCTCAGATTTCAAGTTTTTGAAGAAGACTATTTTCCCCAGAAAAGCTCCATTTTAATTTGTTTCCTGTAAGAAAACACAGTTACCATTAGTTCCCCTCTAGCAATTGTTTACAAGTGATGTATATTTAAACTTTGTTAAGTAGAAACAGGAAAAATTTCCATTTCTTTTATCAATGTATACATATAAAAGTATGCATAGAATGTTTTCCTGTTTGGCAAGGAGAGTTATCCATAACTAGATACAAAGAGCCTCATGAACATGGTTTCCAGTTATACTTGTAACTCAACAGGATTTATTGAAATAAAGAGGAAAACATTTGAATATTCGATTCAATGTATTTTGTCACCCAAGTGAACCAGAGAAAACACCACTGCTGCATCTGGCATACCACGTACCAGGTATCCCATGAAATGACAGTTTCACACCCTGCGGTGCGAAGATATACAGAGTCCCAGAGAATCTCTGTGACTCACTCAATGTTCTTTTTTTTGGGGGGTGGGGGTGGTGGTTGTGGGGCTTGAACTCTGGGCCTGGGCACTGAGCCACGATGTCACTTCCGGTTTTCTAATGGTTTGCTGGAGATAAGAGTCTCACGGACTTTGCTGTCTGGGCTGGCTTTGAACCGCGATCCTCAGACCTCAGCCTCCTGAGTAGCTAGGATTACAGGCATGAGCCACCGGCACCGGGTTCACTCAATATTCTTGAAATAGGTTCTGAACTGGTAAAGGTGATCCCTTTGCTGTCTAGACTGAAAATAAGATAATAAACTGTATGTAAGTTAACACTATGCATAATAAAACTCATACCAGGTTGTGTACCTAAGAGATCTGGGCCACAATTGATTGACTATCCTTGCAGGTAGAAAATAGAATTTATTGGAAAATTTAAAGAAATTAGAGGAAAACAAGAGGTTTTAAAAAAAGTTACATACCAACACAACACTACAAAAACTACCCAAATGGGTGTTTTGCCCATACATTCTTACAGTGACCTCTTTATCAGTCTGTTTTGAGTTATAAGCTTTCTTGTTTCAAGTCAGCCATGGCTGTGTACAGCCCATCCTTTATATTTTCAGATTCTGTATCCACAGAATCAGTCAACCTGATATGACAGGTATCCCAAAGAATGCATCTCTCTAGACTCTTTTGTCATTTTTTCTTGAACAATAGTTAGTATTGAAATAACATTTACATAGCATGGGTATTATAACTCCTCTGGATTGCTGTTATTTATATGGGAGGATTGTATAGATGATGTTTTATGTAAGAAGTTTGAACAGCAGCAGGTTTTGCTATCCCTAGGGGATGTGGAATCCACATCTTGATAGGGTTCAGACCTCAGCAGATGATACCAATGGGGACTTCATTTGGACAAAATGATCTTTTAAATAATAAAGTCCAGTGTGTACTTTGAATTGGCAAAACTTCTACCTTCTCATAATCAATCCTAAGGGACTAGTGTTAACATAAACACCATTTGTAGACAATGCAACAAAGGTAAACTGGGCTGAGATGTGATAATCCACTTCCCTATACTTATGAACATCCTGATTTCTAGTAAAACAGAACACCCTCCACTAAGAAGCTTAGAAAAATGAATGAAATTTCATCCCAGAAATTGTGGGTGCAAGTAAACAAAATGCGCACTGAAAATTACTGGATTTGGGTATAGATTTGTCATTTTTCTTTTTTTTTTGTCAGTCATGAAGCTGGAATTCTGGGCCTGGGCGCTGTCCCTGCGCTCTTCAGCTCAAGGCAAGAGCTCTACCACTTGAGTCACAGCACCACTTCTGGTTTTCCAGTGGTTTATTGGAGATAAGAGTTTCATGGACTTTCTGCCTGGGCTGGCTTTGAACTGTTAGCTTCAGATCTCAGCCTCCTGAGTAGCTAGGATTACAAGCGTGAGCCACCAGTGCTCAGCATGTCATTTGCTTTTGATGTAACTCTTCCCAATGTCACTCATGCATTGTATATATAATTCATTGATTCCTCACTAATAGGCAGTTACAGTAAAAAGAACTATCCAAATTCCACAGGTATGAGGGAAATGAATGAAATTAGTCATTGACAAAAGACTAGGCCTCTTTCTAAATTACAGAATTTTCTTATGTAATTGTATTGGCAAGTTTCACCTCTAATGTGTTTTTTTTCCTTAGTAACTAGAACTTAATAATTACCAAAATAAGGAAGTATAGAGAAGAAGAGGCTAAATTCAAATTTATTTTCATTACTGTTGCTTCCAAAAAAGTAAGAAATCTTAGGGTTGATAATAAGTTGACTTAGGTTTTCCTTTTCAGAAATTTATACATCCTTCAAATTTTCTATGTGACTTTTCACTTAAGGGAAAGTACAATTTGTTGTAACCTGCTTAGCAAGAAATTCTACTAAAATTTCCTGGTTTTCTCCTTCAGGCCCAATATTTATTAATATAGAAACCCAAGAGATTTATTTTTAAGTTAATTAGACTTCCTTTTCAGGTGCCATAAATAAATACATCCTAATGACATTCTTCAACCTTCAGATCACATCTGTTGGATGAATTATATTTCTATGATAAATGTCTACATCACTTTTATTTTATATATGTATATGCATATATATATATATATATATATGTTTCCATTTAAATTGAAGTTTTTGGCACAGAACTTGTAGTTTTCCAATTGTGTTGTACACTACTTTCCATCCATCAAGGATTGCCAGGAAATGAACTATCTGTATGAACTTGTATCTTGTCCATTCTTCCTTAACAAGGCTGTGAGGAAGTATTCCAAGACACTAGAATATTAGAAAAAGAAAGGAGATTGATGGGACTGGAGGATGTGCTGGTGGACTGGTTGAGGACTGTCTTTTGCCTAATTTATACGTGTTTTCCTCAGCAATACCACTTTGAACCTTTGCTGATGGCGAAACATTTCCAAGCTGAAACCAGTGAACCACTAACTCTAAATCCAAAAATACAGAATCTTGTTCCATCAAGTTTTCAAGAGGGAATATTCAGAAAAAAAGTCAATAAAATCTACAATTTAAGAGACAGATTTAAATATGAATCTTTAATAATTATGTCCCACTTCTTTTCTTTCTGCTATACTGCTGAAAGGTAATCCCATAAATAGAACCTGATTTTAGAGGGTGAATTTGAATCACTACATTACTGATTAGTGCAAAATACAGTACTCCCACATTCTCCAAAGTGCTTCCTGAGCAAAAGTCCAAGGCTGAAATCTCACCAACTTTATTTTTAATACTGTTTATATAAACTATTGTGGGTCTGCTTTTGGGACCTCTGCTTGGACAAAAAAGTTCTAGAATGTTTTACAGATAAAGAGTTCTATTAAAACAGGTGGCCATAGATGGGCATGGCCTGCCCCTTTCTCTCAGTATTGCACAGTAGAAAATCTCCAACAAGTAGAAGCAGGTGCTGGCCTCTGTCCTCATTGGCCACAAAGGCCTTATGGGTGGGACTTGAAAAAGCAGCCCTGGACTGCCTTTTTGTTTGCACTATCTATAAAGAAGGGGAAATGGGGCTAATCTGTCATCCTCAAATTAAGGACCAAATAATCAACTCCCCTGTTATTTCATAAAGGCACTTCTAGTCTATGTTCTGGGGTCAGTCCTGTTCCTCTGCTTGTGGCCATTCTTACTGGGTTCCTACTATGTGTAAGAGGATCACTCTATTTGAAGTTGTTTTCCCTTTACCAACTGGTCAATCCAGTCAGGACAAAGAACCCAACCCTTAGTTTAGGATCTACATGTTAGAACTTGAACTTTACCCCTTGGAAAGATGTTCTCAGTACTCTTAATCCCATCCACTTAAAAACTGAACAGTAAAGAGATACACAATTTTTTTCATAAATAAAATTTGAGGCATCCAGGTAATATATTAAAATTTTCACCAACAAAGTTGTCTTTAAAAATTTCAAGTTCTGTCATTCAAGTTCATTAAAGGCACACTTTTTTTTTTTTCTTCAAGCCTGCAAAGAATACAATTGCTAGGAAAGAGAAACAAAAGACATGTTTGTAGGATTTCCTTTTTGATTTTCCTCTTCGTGGGATCCACATTCATCCCGTGATTCAATGGCTTGGCTTTACTTCCCCCAATGAAAGTATTTAGATAGGGTTTTAAGTGGAGTTCACCGTGACATCAGGTTCTAAAGTGCCCGACCAAAGTGGCTGCTGTGTCAGTCACCCTGAGTCTGCTTTTGGTCTTTTCCATTAAGGCTTCTCACCCCCAAATCGGCCTTTCCTGTTTCCAGGCTCTGATGCCCTCCGGACCAGCCTAGGTGGGGGCTTGGGTGGTACATCTTCAGTCAAACTATCTTCCCTCCCCCGACCAAACCGGTCTTTGGAGAGAAGGGGCTCCCGCAGGACCCCTGGCGTCTGCGTGCCCCCTTCTTTGCTACGGGGTGCTGGGGGGATGCTGGGCTGCCCTCCTCGGCCAGAATCCACGTCCACCTCATTCTTCCATTCCATTTTATAGGACTGGGGTGCTTTCTTGGAGAACTGTTCTGGTAAAAAGCGCCTGCCCCGAGGTTGTAAATTGAGCACAGTGGTCCCGGAGTCTGGGTCTGAGTCACTGCTGTTTCCATCTATAAAAAGAGCAGAGAAAGAACAGTGGGACAACTGGCTAAGTGTCCTTGTAAATAAAGAGGAGTTCTTAGAAATGGCTCCAGTGCCACCGTGGACCAGGCAACTCTTCCTGGGGCTGAGCAACTGTGGGAATCTCAGGGTGTCTCCGAGAGCATTCATGTCCACACGAGTGAATTCGTGCTGTCTGAAGAGTATGTTGTCTGCCAGACATTCAGTAATGCGTGAGCACATTTAATCCTCGGAAACGCCCAATTTGCTCTGGTGGTAACTAGCTTCAAAAGGAGCTACTAGGGCTAGGTATGGCAACTCACGCCTGTAACCCCAGCTGCTCAGGAGGGAGAGGCAGGGGCATAATGGTTCAAGGCCAGCCCAGGCAAAAGCTGAAACCCTGTCTAAAAACAAAGTAAAGCAAAAAGATTGAGCAATGCTCAAGTGGATCCTGGGTTCAGTCTCCTGTGGTAGCCACCCCTCTCTCCCCACACACACACTTTTTAAGCAGAGGTGTTTAAAGTAGTGAAGTTGAAATTCATGAGGACTTAGATTTGTGACCAGTGAGAATGCACTTCTGAACACACCGCTGCAATACAATTCACAATGATGAATATTCAGTGTTGTCTTTCTCTGCATTCCCTTCTCATTTTACACCTTGCTCTCTATCATCACCAGCCAACCTCAGACTTTCCTCTTTGTTAATTCAGTGAGCAAGAGAGAACGTAAAGGAACTTGGTCCACGTGAACGCCAGTACTGGACTTCACCTGAGTGCTGTCCCTTAGCTTTTTCACTAAAGGCCTGGAAGTCTACAACTTAAGCCACAATTCAACTTCCAGCTTTTTGGCAATTAACTGGAGATAAGAGTTTCACAGACTTTCTTGCCCAGGAGGGCTTCAAACCATGATTCTCAGATCTCGGCCTCCTTAGTGGCTAGGATTATAGATGTGAGCCACAATGCTAGTTTTTAAGGAACTTTAGTGTTATATCCCATATTTCAGCAACGTGGAATTCTAACATAGCTCTCCTGAAACTCTCAGAAAATAGTTTGGGCAACTACATGGAGATTATTATCAAATATTGAAATATTAGATCTTTAGGAAAAGCTTTAGTAATTACAGCCAGAAGTAAAACATGTGATTATCTCTATAAAAATAGATGAGAGTTATTGCTAGATCTTACATTTTGCACATATTAGTCTTATAACTGCTCACCTGCTCAACCCCCATGGTAACAATATCTGCTTTTGCTATGTCAATGAAACATTGTGAAAACTAAGCAGATTGTTTTTCATGTACAATGAACACAATGCAAAAAGATCACTCTACTAAAATTTTAGATTTGTAAGTTTTAAACTCAACCTTAATGAAGAATAAAATTTACCTATTTTATAAGCACTAGTAAATGCATATAATTTTTTTCTGCCCAAAGTGTATTCATTACCTGCATTGGAAATAATCTTTTTCTTTTGTAGCTTTTCTGGAAGCTTTGTGTTTTTAGGTAAAGATAAATATCGGGAGGTTGAAGTAGAAGCCTGTAAAATTAAAAAAAAATACCTTATTCAGATTGCATGAATGCCATTTATCGTGTATTAATAATTGATTTTTTGTTGTTGTTGTTGGATGTGGGGCTTGAACTCTGGGCCTGGGCACTGTCTGGGTGCTGAGTACTGGCTACTTTCTGAGATGCTATAACAATTGTAATTGAAATAACTAAGTCCTTTCCAAAACCCTATTGGAGAATAGTACGAAGGAAGCTAAAATGAACGGGCTCATTAAAAAGAAGATGCAAAAACCCACTTTCTAAGTTGTCAATTAGATTTAGAATCTATATGAAATCTTGACTTAAAAAAATCTCATTTTAGAAACAAGTGTGGCCTATTGAAGTTTTATTTACTTGAATAAATCTTGAAAATAATAGAACAATGTAAATTTAGTGATAATATGAATGCGATCTTTAGGTTTTACATGTAATTTTTTAATGGAACCTGTTGTACATTTTACATGTAAAAGAGATAAATATGAAAGTGCAGGGATGGCCAGCTTTTAGTTGGAAAAGATTAGCAAGAGTGCTAGGCCCTGAGTTCAAGCACAAGTACTGGCATGTGCCCCCTCTCTGTCTCTCTGTCTCTGTCTCCGTCTCTGTCTCTCTGTCTCTCTGTCTCTCTCTCTCTCTCTCTCACACACACACACACACACACTCACATACACAGGTAAATCTCATTTTCATCTTGGGGACTCAATATCTAGTATAATATTTTTAAAAAGATATAGTATTTGGCACACTAAATCAGTAAGTCATTGTCTCATTTTACCTACTGACAATGTCCAGTCCAACTGGACTACCGAAGAAAGGGAAGTCCAAACACCTCTGTCCCCAGGTGCTCTGGGTTTCTTGTAGGTCCCAGAGAACACATGGGTGTGCCCACCCACCTTAAGTCCTCAGCCCTCTGCTTCCTCACATCGGAAACCTCAAATGCAGTCATGACTGACCAACTGACAACAGTGGTACTATAAGATCATATTAACTACTGACGCCAAGATTCCCAGTTTATATGAGCCTACTCTAGAATGTGTAAAGGCAAAGCATTTCTCAGAACATATGCCACTAATATGAGATGTATGGCTGCTTCATTTTCCAGACATCCTGGCCCAGCAATTCTGGTAAAGATTGTAATTTGACTATCTTCCCTGTGCTACAAACTTTCTTTAGGAGCCTATCTTTATAATTTCATCTTCTTCTTCTTATTATTATTATTATATTCTCTATAGTACGTTTTGCCTTTAAGCACAATAAGTAAATTTAGAGCCTCTTGCTAGTGGCTATCTCCACTACTAGAATAGAAATCTGTTCCTTTTATTCACCAAGGGTTTCCATGTGGCCATGGCAGTGGCTACAATGTAGCAGGTATTTGAGAAACATCTGAAGGGACTTTATTATACTTTCTCTTTCTTCCCTCCCTATCCTCCTACTTCTCCCTCCTCCTCCTCCTCCTTTTCCTCCTCTTCTTTCTTCTTCTTCCTCCTTTGTCTATGTTTCTTTTCTTTCTTTCCCTCCCTTTCAGTGATTTTTTTTTTTTAAATTCTGAGATGGATCTTCTGTGTTGCCCGGGCTAGTGGGATGAAGTAGTCATCTTCTCCCTCAGCTTTTTGAGGAGCTGAGAGTACAGCTACTCAACTATCATATTTCACTCATGGCCAAAGGGTGTTATTATATATTCCATCCCAGAGTTTCTGGGAATGGATCTTCAGCAGCCAATCTGACAGATAAGTCATCTGATCAGCAGAACAGCTATGGTCCTGCTTGGGACACCTTCTTCATCCTACACCCCCCTCCCTCTTCCCGCCCCCCCCCCACCCCAGATCCCAGGCAGTCACCCTGCGATCGCGATTCAAGCTGTTCTCTTTCCTGATGCTTTCTCTCAAGCTGTGCCGGCGACGGATCAGAATCTCCTTGGCTTGCCGCTCACTTGTATCAGTGGTCAGATTGTGTCTGTTATATGACAAAGTCTGGAACAAAAATGCATACGTGATACTTTACCCAAAGACTGACCATTTACCCTCAAATTCTAAAACTTGACAGCGTTTCTTTGGATTTGCCCCTCTGTGTGGCACTTATAACCTGTATGCAGAGCAACACATAAAATAAAACAAAACAAAATTAAAAGCAGTTTGAAGAGCCTGGATTCTGGTTCCAGCTCTGCCATTGACATAGCAATGTTTCCAAGCCAAGTGTTTCATTCTATAACGAGTTGGCTAAATAAATACCATCAAAAGTTAAAAAAAAAGAAATCAAAAGTAAAACAGGTGAACCATTTCAAAATATTGAAAGAATGCATTCTTTCATAAAAATTGGTGTGATTTTTATAGACGAGTAAAATAACTAAACTCCATCCAAGGCTCTGCCTGCCTCAAACTGCCTTGTCCTGGTCATTACCCATTATTGGTAGACAGAAAAAAATATAGGTCATTCTCATCTGAATTGGGATTACTGATATCACACCAACGATGCTGAGCCACATGGTGGTGCCCTGCTCTTGAAATCACTTCAACACTTGTGCTTTTTTCCACTGAGCTCTCACACTGACCGGCTGCTGTTGCCACCGGCAATGATCACATCCCAGAACACTTTCCAAACTAGGCCTGTCCATGTCATCATTTTTAATTGTATAAATTATGTAGAAATTGAATTTTCCAAAATAAACTATAAATTAGTAATTAAGCTTATTTCCTAAAATAAATCATAATTAGTAATTAAGTTAATAAACTATATAAAATCGTGTTTCCCAAAATAAATCATAAGTAGTAATTAAGTTTATTTCCTAGCAGAACTGGCAGAAAGCTGCGTCCTTGCAGAGAAATGCAAAGGTTACATAGTATAAGATTTGATTTCTGCCTTGAGCAGGTTTACTTACGAAATTGGACCTCTTAGGCTAAGAAAATACTGCAAAAGCATGAAAGTGCTAATGTAAGTTACTCCAAAGTAATGTATGTTCCAAAGGACAGGGCTGGGGTGGAGGGTATAATATGGTAATTGCTCAGAGAAAGCAACAATTGGAGTCTCTGCCCCACGTGATAAGAAGCAGGACCATAAGCAAGTGGAGAGAGAAAAGGAGAAGACAAGGAAAACAAGAGGAGGTGACAGAAAAAAGGGGGAGAGGAGGAAAGGAGAGAAGAGAAAAGGAGAAGACCATAAACTTCAAGAATGGAAGGCATCTGTGGAAAGTGAGTGAAGCAGGTATAGATAAGGTTGGGTGATGGGGAGCTTGGAAATAGACACCCAATTCAGAATGAGTTTATCCTGGAAGCCACAACTGTTGTTTTGTTGATTGACTTTAGGAGAGTACTGCCAATAAGAGGGGGGGAAAATACACAATTTCAATATTGAGCTTCAGTTACATATTTTTATAACTATGTTGTCCTTTTCATGAAGAGTTTAGCTCCCTGACACTCATCTGGGAAACAGAGATGGCAAAATTCATAATGCATTTTTTTAGAAAGAACAAAAGTGAAGTTTCTGCAAACAGCATGCAAATGTCTTGAATATTTTATGAAATTAAAAAATTGTGGTCTAATTGTAAGTTGTGCTACACGTTTGCTGTTTCTGTAACTTCAAGTGCTCCTTGGACATTTTAGATACAGGTGTTTGACTAAATATGTAATGTACAAATACATTCTCCAAGACTGAATCTTATTTTCCTTCCTTTAATATTGATTAATACGGAGGAAATAATACATTTTATAAATTCCAATTCATTGCTTTTGTTTTATGTCAATTATACTTTGGGGTTGGACTAAAAACCTCATCTTTTATCCAAGGTCCTCATCTAAAAAGTTTATGACATTTCATTTCATTTGTCTTAGTTGTGTGACACATTTGGAATTATATTTGTGTAAGGCATGAATAAAAGGGGAATTAGAGAGAAGGGCAGACTGGGGGTAATGATAAGATGGGGTGCAATAAAGAAGATCAGAGAGAAGAGAAGGCAGCTGGTATGGTGGGACCAGTGAGGTGAATACAACAATGGGACCTCCAACTATAACAAAAAGTTAAAGCATATTTTGAGCCAAGTATTTTTACACAAGTACTTTGGGAAAGAAATGATTCTTACGCGCTGGCGGATTTGATATAGATTCCTTGATAAGATTTCTCGAATTTCATCCATTTCAACAGGTGTGAGCTTTCTTATTTTTTCTTCCCGGCAATCACTGTGAACGTTTACACAAAGAATATTTCAACTTTCATCATATATTACATTCATTGATTTTTCTATATTAGAGCCACAGACCCTTTTTTCTTTGGCGGGGCGGGGGATTAGGAGGGGAATCTTTGTTCAGCAGAACTTGGTTACTGAAGTGAGGAAAATGTTTTAAAAGATTTAGGATATGTTCTTTGGTTATACAGGTATGGAAATTGATGACAATAATGGAAGAAGAAGAAGAAAAGAAAAACCTAGCACTTGAGCTCGACACCAGTGCCTCATACCTAAAATCCTAGCTCCTCAGGAGACTGAGATCTGAAAGTTTAAAATTTGAAGTCATCCTGGGTGTGCGCGCACACACGTGCGCGCGCACACACACACACACACACACACTCACACTCACACACACACAAACAGCCATGACATTCTACCTTCAAAATAACTAGGCTAGACATGAGCAGGCAAGCTAAGCAAGTACAAGACCCTGAGACCAAACCCTGGGGGTTGTAAAAATGGGTAAGTAAATAAATACATAACTAATACATGGAAGTTACTGAATACTTTAAATACTTCAATACTTTAGTTCAATCAACTTGAAGTACTGGGATTACAGGTGTGTACCACCATGCCTGGCTTCTCATGCTGTTATTTTTTTTTAAAGAAGGAATATTAAGGCAATAATCACCTGGCTATTTCTGACACTATATAAAATAACAGAAGTTTTTTCAACACAAATTTAATTAGCTGCATTTTCTAAGAATTTTATCTTTTTAAATAGTTCATTCTAAACATTTGCAAGCACACTATGTATAAGATGTGTGCAAAGACAGTCAATCCTTTTTATCCAAAGATTCCATATTTGTAGCTCTACTGGTGACAACCCACATCAATACTTGTAGCACATGACAGCCATTCCAAGATGCAATGAATGGCAAAACATTTTCCCCAATGATGAATAGGGTGAATCCTACTTTTTTATTTCTTCTTGTTTTCATTCTATAAATAATGTCCTTTTCACACTCGATTGGTGAGATGATTCTCACATTTTTATGCTGCTTATTAGTAGCTACACTGCTTAAAGTGGCTCTGTTCTGTCTCAAAACACAGGCAGGCCACGGTGAGCTTCAGTATGACCCCTAGGAGCAACACTTTTGTTTGTTTGTTTGTTTTGGAGTTACTGGGGTATAAACTCAACATTTTCACTCAAGGTTGGCACTGTACCACTTGAGCCACAGTACCACTTCTGACTTTTTCTGAGTTGTTTATTGAGATAAAAGTCTCTTGGACTTTCCTGCCCAAGCTATCTTCAAGCTGTGGTCCTCAGAGCTCAGCCTCCTGAGGAGTTAGAATAAAAAGTATGAGCCACTGGCCACTAGAGTTTCTTCAGCTCAACATGAACTGAATGCAATGTATCTTGATCAGTGTTACTGCTTCCATAATCTCCCCCCATCTCTTTCAATCCACTCCTCCCTCTCAAATTCCCAGGTTCCATTTTCATATATTTCTACACTGAATGTTGTTACAGTAATTGGCCACTCTTGATCTCTCTGTCAAATAAGAAGTTATGGTGGAAATAAAAATATTTTGAATTAGAATGTAGTTAAAATACAACACACCAAATCTGTATTAAAGAAACGTGAAAAAGGAAATATTTTAGCCTTAAATGCTACTATTAGAAAAAAAACCACTGGGCTGAAAATCAATCATCTAAATGCCATGCCATGAGGTTGCAAAAAGAAACAATAAATTATATTCACAAAGAATGGAAAATTTGTAAAGTCAATAAGTCTATAATTGAAAACTTCAAGACTATATATGACTTCATTTAACCTTTAAGTAGGAAATAATGCATAATTTAAGTTAATCCTTTCAGACATTAAAAAACAAGATAAATTACCACATCAATCAAGTGAAAAGGGTCTAACTTTGAGTCTAAACCTGACAAAGATATTTGTAAGAAAAGAAAAAAGTATAAATTTCCCAAACACTCCTATTGAAAGAGCTGATTATCAGAATGAATAAACTATAGAAGCCATTTTATACTTAATACTATGTGATGGTTACAAATAGAAGGCTAAGAAATTTATCAGGATGTTTGTATAATTATAGTGATATCAGAGGATGTAATCTTTAAGGAAATGATTATAATTAATAATGGTGAACGTTCTATTTTTGATGATGTATGACTTTAAATCATTGTGCCAGAAACACCATAATGCAATATAGATGTAGAACTCTCACAACCTTTACCACAACAAGCATATAATAATACCAGAATATTATATAATGAGTATCAATTAAATTACTGGTAGACAAATTATTTTTAAAGGACTTCACACAAAATATGCTCTCATACAAGAAGGGAATCACAGCCAAAGATGTAAAACAAATGGAAAATTAAGAAAACATTTGTAGTTTACATATTGTTTTGTTATTGAATTTTCTCTCTTGTTAATTTATCAGTTATACTATTTTACTTTCTTTAACTCCTCTTCTTAGTGTTTACTATGGGTTACAACATTAATCATTAACTTATGAGGTTCAAAAAAGAAATTACTATTTACATGCTTTTAAGAGAACACAAAAATTTTGGCACAATATCTCCCAATTAAGTTATCATTGGTGTTTTTATTTTTTATTTATTTTTTTCAGTCATGGGGCTTGAACTCTGGGCCTGGGCAGTGTCCCTCAACTCTTCAGCTAAAGGCTAACACTCTACACATGAGCCACAGTGCCACTTTGGTTTTCTGAGTGGTTTATTGGAAATAAGAGTCTCAAGAACTTTCATGTCCAGGCTGGCTTTGAACTGAGATCCTCAGATCTCAGCTTCCTAAATAACTAGGATGGCAGATGTGAGCCACCAGCGCCCGGCTTGGTGTTGTATTTTTATGGACAACTAAATATCCCCAGTCGTTCTTTAATACAACTAACATTCATTTAGATTTTCCCAAATACTTTAGCTTTACCATCAATCATGTTACCTCTTTCTCTAAACTGCTGTGTAAGAGAACTCTGATTGAATTTCCTTGATGTTCATTTCAGGGCGATGCCTCTCATTTGTTTGAAGCTACTTTTAATAGTTACTTTTGAAAGATATTTTAACAGGGTATGAAACACTACATTTCTAATTATATCCTTCCAAGATTTTGAAGATACCCCTAATTCCTGCTGCTTTTGTTGAAAATCAATTATCATGTGGTGTTTTTTTTTAATGTTGAAGAAAATGGATACATTTTTTTCTCTTGGGGATGTTTAATATTTCCCTTTTAGGATTCAGCTGTTTTATACATCAGGTATTTAGGTTTGGTGAATGTTTTATCTAATTTGCTTGATGTTTGTTACAATTTTTGTCTTTGATCAGCTTGAGAAGTTCTCAGTCATTATTTCTTAAGATATTTATTCTGACTGCTTCTCTCTTGGTGTCTCCTGAACATTTTTTCACCAAAAACCATACATTATTTCATTAGCCATATTTCAATCTCTTTGCTTCACTTTGTGCTTTCACTTCATTCTAATCTATTTTCAAATTGGTCCATTCTCTCTTCAACAGTTGAGTTCTTCTGCTGTTATGCCAACCAAACAATCCCAAATTCCATCAATTCATGTATTTCAGCTAAATAACTTCATTGCAGATCTCTTCTCTTCCTTCCTTCCTTCCTTCCTTCCTCCCTTCCTTCCTTCCTTCCTTCTTTCTTTCTTTCTCTCTCTCTCTCTCTTTCTTTCTTTCTTTTTCTCCCTTTCTTTTTTCTTTTTTTGCCAGTCCTGGGCTTGAACTCACCACCTGGGCACTGTCCCTGTGTCTCATTGTGCTCAAGGCTAACACTCTACCACTTGAGCCACAGGACTACTTCCAGCTTTTTCTGGGTAGCTTATTGAAGTCTCATGGACTTTTCTTCCTGGAATGGTTTCAAACCATGATCCTCAGATCTCAGCCTCCTGAGTAACTAGTCTTACAGATGTGAGCCACAGGTTGGCCGGCTCAAATCTCTTTTTTATTAAAAAGATCTCTCATAATATCAGTGTCTATCTGATAATGCAATTATCTGAATTCTTTTGTACCATATATAATTGTTTGGCCTCTCATTTGTTTCCATTTATAAGTCACATTTTCTATTTACTCATGTATTTGAAACATTTTATTGTTTTATAATCATTAGTTATGTAAAATCAGAAAGGAATTTTATGGCTCCTAATAATCTTATTTTCTTCAACATGGAATTTAAATTCATTTTTCAAGCATTTGTTATTGGTATAATAGGAATATGAAATGGCTTTGACAGCCATAGGCTGAGGACTCTGGTAATAACCAACCACTGGCCACAAGAGTTGACTTTTGGTAGGTCCTGAATTTCAGTCATTTTTTTCAAAGTTAATCAATGTGCCAAACTTCCATTTAGTTCTTAGACTCTAGGACATGGCTGTAACTAAATGAGAGGTCCATGCAAAATTAGGTCCTCAATGCCAATTTCATTTCTTCAGTCTTCCCTGTTCTCTTGTCTCTTGTCTAAGAAATTCCTCGCTGCTCTGGTATTCTTCATTTTAAACAATATTTCCCCCATTTTCTAGTTGTGTTTAGAAGATGGATTGTAGCCTCTTCTCAATTCAGTTCATATGTCAGAAATACAATGTCTGCTGGGTGCTAGTAGCTCACACTTGTAATCCTAGCTACACAGTAGGCTGAGATCTGAGGATCATGGTTCAAAGTCAGCCCAGGCAGGAATGTCTGTGAGACTCTTATGTCCAATAAACCACAAGCAAACTGGAAGAGGCATGTGGCTTAAGTGGTAGAATGCTAGCCTTGAGCTAAGGAACTGAGGGACAGTGCCCAGGCCCAGAGTTCAAGCCCCAAGACCAACAACAAAAAAAAATACAATTTCTAATGACCTTCCCTTTTGTTTCTATTTTTGTTTTTAGAGAAACTATTTTGGGAAAGGTGGAATTGTCATTATACCCTCTATTTGTACAACTATGAACATAGACATTATGTGTGTGTGTGTGTGTGTGTGTGTGTGTGAGTGTGTGTGTTATCTTTATGCTGTTCCTGAAGTTTGTACTCAGGGCCTGGGTGGTGCTGTCCCTGAGCTTTGTTTGCTCAAGGCTAGGGCTCTACCACTTTTTCGGGAGCTTCATTTCAAATATTTTAGTGGTTGACTGAAGTTAAGGGTTTCATGGACTTTCCTACTTGGCTAGCTTCAAACCATGATACTCAGATCTCAGCCTCCTGAGTAGCTAGGATTACAAGAGTGTGCCATTGATGACCAACTTAACTTAATGCAGTACCCTGAACCTTTGACTTTATTCTCCTTTCTTCCAAAAAGAACTATAACACAGGGAAACACTGAGATTGCATTCATCTGAGAATGGGAAAACTGGATAATAGAGTTGTTTCTTGATGTGACTACAAGCATGAGAAAGACTAGAGAAAATGGTTAAGCTTAAAGAAACTTTACCAATCAAGTTAAACCTACTCTCATTACTCTGTTACAGAAACTCACACTCAGAGAAAGAGATGGCCCAGCTCAAGCTCAGACAGCGTAGTTCGAGGCTCTCATATGGGTCCAAGGCTCTAAGCCAGTCACCTAACAGCTCAACTCACTGCTGTTTCTAATGCTGTTTCTATATTGCCATGCTGACCTCTCCCTCTTGTTATCCTGGATCATATAAACTCCCATAGTTTTTATAGGAGACTTACAAATCCTAGTTAAAACCATGGTTATAGTTGGATATTTTGTGTCATTTTCTCATCTGTCACTTTAACTTCCCTTAGGTAACATTTTAATTGCTTGAAATTTCCTTTAAAGGAGCTTCAAGCCTGTTTAATTAGCAGTAGAAGAATCAGCAGGAGCCTATAATTCCTATCACTGTCCTAAACAGAGAAGGAATGATGTTTACGCAAGGAAATAACATCCTCTGCTGATTGCTGCACAATTGTTGCTTCTTCCATTGACTGTTGAGGGACTTGAGAAGTCACCTCACCAGCCTGGGTCTTTACCTCCTTTTCCTTAAAGGAAACAGATGAGATCAGTGGGTCTCCATCCTGGCTCAAGAACTTTTTGGACTGGAAGATTGTTTACAATTGCACAGTGAAAGTAAACACTCCGGAGGATGCATGGGGTCCACAGGAATTTTCAGATATACCTATTCCTGGGCATCAGCCCCAGAGATTTTGATTTAACTGGCCTGGAATCAGGCATCTGCATTCTTTAACTTTTCCCAAATGCTTCTATGCAATGCGCAGTTGAGATGCTTGCTACCCCCAAGCCTTCAGCTAGGACTCTGTGAAAAGTCTGTGAGAATACAGCTGCATTATTCCATGCATGTGGATAGCAGCAAATGTGACACACCTTCGAATATTCCAATCCCAGTGTTGTATGAGGGGTATTGAAATGTCATAAAGCATAAACTTCCTAAGTGTGCATGTATTTTCTGACTAGTCCATTTCAAGATAGCATAACACAAAACATAACATAATATACATAGTCTGAGGCTTGTACATTTTAACAAAATTCTCTTTCTACTATGAGATAATAAGTAACAACTCTAGGACGTAGATCAATTTATATTATTATGGCTGCTCTCAAAAGACTATTAATGTAGGTTTATAAACAATATAATTAGTAACAGTTATAAATTAAAGTACTATGATAATAAAAGGCTAGCTTTAATTTGTAAAGCCATACTTACTTCAGAGATGCAAAAGAAGGGACAGTACTTATCATCCCTGTCTCCGCCATCTCAATGGCATGTTTTATTTCAAGCTTCTTATATAAGGACACAATGCTGGACTTAGGTTGGTTTTCCCGAATCAAAAGCTTCCGAAGATATCTGTCATCAAACTTCTTAAACCTATAAAATTTAAAATTTAAAATAATGAATACTGCATTGATAAAGAAAAACCTCCAAGGTAGAAACACAGTCACAGAATTCAATTAGTTTGATCATAGTGTGTATTTGTACATAGCATACCTAAAATGTGTGAATATAAAATATAAATGCTATATATCTGTATAAGCATATATACACATATGTGTTGAGACATTTTTAAATAGAGCCCTAGACCATAGATCTAATACTAGTTAAATTTACATATATTTCTCCCTTTGTCATTTCTTTACCTCCAATTCAGCCAAGCTACTCAAAGTGTTATCAATCCTTATCAATATCAACATCTCCAATTCCCTTCCTGTGCTTTTTGAATGTTCATATATCAGGGATTTGCCTGATACATGAACTCCACTGAGGATATTCTCATGAAGGTCATCAATGGACCCCACAATGGAAATACAATGGCCAGCTATTATTCCTGTCTTTCCTAAAGCCACCTGTTAAATACATTGTCACCATTTGGCTTCTAGTGTACCACGCTCCCCTCCGATCCTCAATACCCCTTTCTCAGCTTCTTTTATTGGTCTTTGTTCTTCTTCTGACCCATGAGTATAGGAGTTCTCTGCCAGTCTTTTGTCTTCTTCTCCATATCAATGACTCCAGAATTTGTCTCTCTAGCTCCAATATTCTCTTTGAATCCCTGGCCATGAACAAGTAGCTATCTACTCAACTCCTAACATGCTTGCAAAGATGATAGGCAATTGACCCTATCTTCTCCCATTCTCCACTAATGATGACTTCTCTAGGTCAGAAACTATGATACCATCTTTAGTCCTTCTTTCGTGTTCCATGTTATGGTTTGCATTGTATCCCACGACAACAGTCAATGCTTAAATCCCTAACACATGAGCATGTGACTATACTTGGAAACATCATCTGGCCAATGCAATTAAGATGACGTCATCAGGGTGGGCTCCAGTCCAACATGACCATTTGGACAGAGACCATTTGGACAGAGACATGTACAGAGTAAAAGCAACAGGTAGTGAGGAAGAAGACTGCCATCTGCATGGAAATAAAAAAGCATAAACAGATTCTCACAGCCCTCAAGGAAGCCAACCGTGTGGCACCTTGCTCTTTGACTGAAGACCCCCAGAACATTAAGAAACTCATTGCTTTTGATTAAGCTACCTACCATGTGAAGCTTGTTATAGAAGCCCTGGGAGACAACATTCTGTATCAGCAGTTTCTGTTGGTTCTACCATCAAACTACATGCAAAATCCAACCACCTCTCACGCTCTCACCCTGGTCCAATAGTTGGTCCTCTCTCATGGAATCTTTGCATGAAATGAGGCACTGAATTGCTCTCTTCCTGTTGCATATTCTCATGGCAGATGCCAGAAGATTCCTGTTAAAAAGTCAGCCAAAGCCAGGCACTGGTGGTTCATGCCTGTAATCCTAGCTACTTAAGAGGTTGAGATCTGAGGACCATGGCTCAAAGCCAACCCTGAGCAGGAAAGTCCAGGAGACTCTTTTCTCCAATAAGCGATCAGAAAACAGGAAGTGGTGCTGTGGCTCAAGTGGTAGAGCACTGGCCTTGAGCTGAAGAGCTGAGGGACAGCACCCAGGCCCAGAGTTCAAACCCCACAACTGACACACACACACACACACACACACACACACACACACACACACACACACACACACACACACACGTCAGTCAAATAATGTAGTTTCTGCTTCTCACCTGAATACAAGCACCATAGACCATAAGACCCTGCACAGTGTGGGTCTGCACCTCTTTAGCACAGTGCTCCTTTTCCTCAGGTGAAGACTCTCATATCCATCCTGCCTTAGATAGTTGTCACCTGTGCCTTTCTGCTCACTATTACTTTATAGACACCTTCAGGACTCATGTGTACATCTCCTTTAAGTCTCCTCTCAATGGTAATTTTCTCTAAACAGGATTTCCCATCCCTCTTGTTAAAACTTACACATCTTCCTCCACTCTGCATCCTTTCTCACTTCCCATATCTATTTTTAAATACAGTAATTATCACTTTATGACACAATCCATAACTGACTTATTCATGTCATTTTCTGTCCCTTTGCACTAGAATATAAAATCTATATGTATAGGAATCATTTTTGTCTCTTATTCACGATTGCCAGAGAGCTTAGCGCTCTGTGAGCTTTTGTAGAAGATGGCTTCCAATGACTCCCTATGTCCACCTCTTCTGCCATGTTACTCCAGCAATGTCTTTGTACCATGGCATAGGTGACCACCTACCTTGACCCAAGGCATAGGCTCAGTAATAGTCCTTTTGGATGAAAGAAGAGGCCTAAAGTTGGCTTTCTACCTGGAGCCCTCACGCAGTGCTTCCAACATCATCATGAGAGAGCATAGAGTACCATGGACAAAGGTGAGCATCATCCCAGTCACTTCAGATAAAGCCAGGTAGAATCATGTGACTCCCACCTGCATGCAGCATGAGCAAGACTTACCCATATCAGCCCAGTCTCATATGGTGACTCATAGCTTCTTGCCTTATGGACTCTACTAATCCAGGCTGCTATTTGGAGCAACTACTTCTGGGATTGTTTATTATGCAATCTTATCGTGCCAATAAATAAGTGAAACAGCATGTAATAAATATTTGTTGAGAAAGAAAGAAGTATATTGCAGAGGTCATATAGGCATACCTGTCCCATGAAAGAAACCAATGTTCTCTCACATTCTTGGCACTGGTCCTTGGTTCTAAATACCGGAGGACTCTGAATAGCTCTAAGCCATTCCTGATTTGCTTTGGTGTTGACTGGCCACTACACTGAAGACTGAGCCTACTGTTTCTTGTGTTTATTTTGAATTTCATGTTAGGATCATTGAGCCAGGATTCTCAACGACAACACATCTTAAAACTTCTTTTACTGCTATTATTGTTTTAGCTTTTTTTTTTTACTAGAGATAAGTAAAAGGAAGAGTAAACATAAATGACAAGAATATCTGATCTTTTTGTTGTAGGGATTTGTTTCCTTTCTTTGCTTTATTCTCACCCCCATCTATTTCTCTGCCAAGATACACATAGGTGTTCTTTTTCACCATCATTAGGTTTCTTTGGGCTGAATCTGAGAAATGTCACCCTGTATTATCTTTCATCCCATTCCTGAAGGATCAAATGCCTCAAGAATCCTCTGCCAAGAATATGGCATAAAGATAAAAAAAACAAACCAAAATGGGGCTGGGAAGGTGGCTCAGTGGTAGAGCGCTTGCCTTGCATGCATGAGGCCCTGGGTTCGATTCCTCAGCACCACATAAGCAAAAAGAAAAAAGCCAGAAGTAGCGCTGTGGCTCAAGTGGTAGAGCGCTAGCCTTGAGCTGAAGAGCTGAGGGACAGTGCCCAGGCCCAGAGTTCAAGCCCCACCACCGGACCCCCCCCCCAAAAAAAAAACCCAAAAGATGCCCAACATACTTAAAGCAATCACTTCCCACTGAATGCTACTGTTAGCCCATCACGATTATATAATCTTAGAGATTGATCTGTATGTTACTGATTTTTAAAAGGGCCTGTGACTGCACTCCAACCCCCCCAATTATAAATTTATATGGGAATCGGCCATGAAAATCTATAAGTGCTTATGGATTATTACATGATGCACATTCATTGTTGAGATAAAAGTTAACGAATAACTTTCCTTTCAGAAATAAGCCAAAAGCTGGCTCTGACATCTTTAGCACCCATGGTCCAATTAGCCTGGCTACCTTAAAAGTTCTGCCAGGGTCAGTCAGGGATTCCAGAAGTAGTGACCATGGCCTGAGAGATAAAGCCAGAGGAGTCAAAGTACCTCTGACATTCCTCCACCTAAATTCCAGATAAGACCCACAAGATCATAGTGCTGACCTCTCCTCCTTCCTCCCAGAGTGTACAGGCAGTTGACATGATCCACATGCCTACTGATGTCTATGCTCTTCTACACTCTGGAGGCAGAAAAGTGGTATGAATGTGGAACCCTTCACTTTTGTAAGAAAACATGCTGGTTTGCTAACATTTCTCACTCATCACTTTGGAAAAGGACTTTCAGGGCTCTAGAGAAAATAAAAATGTGGTTGGGCTGGTCACCAATGGCTACTCAGGAGGCTGAGCTCTGAGGGTCAAGGTTTGAAGCCAACCCGAGCATGAATGTCCATGAGACTCTTATCTCCAATTAATCATACCCCCTTCTGCAAAAAACTAAAGTAGAGCTGTGGTTCAAGTAGTAAAGCTCTATCCCTGAGCACAAAAGTCCAGGGACAATAACCAGGTACCTTGAGTTCAAGCCCAGGACACGGTGTGTGTGTGTGTGTGTGTGTGTGTGTGTGTGTGTGTGTGTGTGTGTGTGTGTGTGTGTGTGTGTGTGTGTGTGTGTGTTTGAGTTGAAAGGGAGAGTTAGGTGGAAAAGAAGCATAACAAAAGTGATTGGAGGGTAGGGAAGAAAGTCTGGGTCACTGGCATGGCACAGACAAAGACTCCTCTGGGTTCTACATGTGAAAGGCCAAAGGATGCAAATTAAGATTGGGTAGAGCCATGAGGTAGACATGTGAGGATGTCAGGTTTACTTCCAGATAAGTTAATGTTTCCCAAGAAAAATGGTTATGTTTTTCAGATATTTTTGCAATGCAGATTTCAGTTTGTTTTATGACCTTATTCTCCCACGTGGCTTACTGGGTTTTCTCCCTACACATAAAATATCTTTTCCTTATTTATGAAATAATGTTGAGCCTGAGGTAATTTTCCATATTAGTTAGGAGTGTTGCAAACCTTATAAAATTTGCTCTGGCATTAAAATACTTTTATAGCTCATTGTATTCCTTATGGGTCTCTGTCTCTCTGTCTCTCTGTCTCTCTTCTCTCTCTCTCTCTCACACACACACACACACACCCTTTCTGGTACACACACACATACACACACACACACACACACATAATAGCCCCATTTACTATGTAACTATTATTTGTCTTTGTTATGTTACAATTTTAGCAATGGGAATCTGTTTATGTAGCCCAGTACCATATCACCTATGTAAGCAAATCAAAGCACTCAAAAATTCTTCTCTCATGTTAAATGGCATAGACTGGAAAGTTGGGGGAACATTTGTTAAGGAGAGAGAAAGGAAGGAAAGGAAAAGGGAAAGGGAAAGGGAAAATCCTACAAATACACTCTAGAAGTAGTTATTGTGTCTTAGGGAACAAATAAATGATGTTTACTCCAAAAGTCTTGCCTAGCCAGTAATATGTTCATCAAATTTAAGCCTTAAGAATGTATGTATGTTATTTCTTCTAGTTTATTTATATCCTCCAGACCATTGTTTGACTCGGCCTCTCAGAATGTGTGGCAAAATAGTCCATAATGGAGTCCTCAGTTTTAGACTGTGTTTCCTTTGCATCAAGTCATAGCCATATAACTAAGTGCTGGCCATGCAATATAAGTGGAAGAATTGTGTGAAAGCTTCTGATAACCTTATTTAGAAGGCAGGTAACATATTTCTTCCATTTCTTTGTTATCTTTTCTTCTTCATGCAGCCTCGAATTGCAGACACTGAAGTATAATTCTAGTCCAAGAGGCAATCTTGAAAATGGAAACCACCATTAGTGGTCAACTCAGAGGACTCTGTGGAGGAGAGCTCATTTGTTAAATCTGACCCTCCAAACCTCTGGCTATTTATATAAGAAAGAAAGAAGCTTCTACCTCATTTATGCTGCTATTACCCTACACATCTCTTATAGCTGAACTTTCTCTTAAAGGACATGCTACGACAGAACATGAGAAAATTGTGTAGGCCTGTATGTTCTGTGTCCAGTATCATCCCAAGCTATGCATCATTAGTTACAAGTCCTTCTTACTTGTCTCTCCAAAAGTTGTGACCCCAATGTCCACAAACATCTTCAATCCCAGTCTTCACGTGATCAAAAAACTAAAACAAAACAGAACAATTTAGGCTAATTGATTGGTTTGTACCTGAAGTCAGTAATTTTCATTCTACTTTATCATGCTTAAACTCTAATGACCTTGGTAGTTTTTTTCTTGTTCATTTATTTTATTGAAAGCAATAAATAAATACTTTGACTTCAAACAAATAGAGATGTTTATTGCAATAATGCCAGATGGTGCTTTGATTATTTTGATCACCATGTTGGGTTGGAATTTTGAATAGTTTGAAATCTGGTAATCATTATCCAATAGAGATAGTTTTAAGTTGAAGGTAGTAGAGAGAAGGGCTTTGTTGCAATCTATACAGGACCTTGGTGATGATGCTACTATGGGTGTGATTATTCTTTGATTTTTGGAAAGTTGATTTAATGTCTTAAAATTTTTCTTTTAACATTTAAATTGTTATGCTCCATCAACACCTACCCGACAGTGGATTTCTTCACTGACAGCTTGCTGCTTCTTATTGGATCTCTTAACATCAAGAAACTCTACCAGTGGTCGGATGGTTATTCCCTTCAAAAAATTAATAACAAAAAATTAAGTGAACTTTCTTATGAGGTTAAAAGAAATCAATAATAACTCATTGTCTGCTACATCTTGATGACTAAAGCAAAAGCTATTCTGCTGCTGAGATTGAAGAAGGAAAACGTAACATTTTATTCATTTTTTTTCTTCCTTTTCCATAGCTGGCTTATTTTCAGGAGACTATGAGCCAACACTAAACAATGGACAAAAGGGATAAAATTGAAAAGATCATCATAGGAAATAATAAAGTGTTAGCTCCAACCACTACAGAGGAGTTGCTTATTTGTATTAGCCACAGAAATTACATTTTAATTCTTCACTTAAGGCATTTTTAACTGAATTTCTACTGAGTACCTAGCAGGGTTATTTGGAACACAAAGGAGAATAGATAAATCTCAACTCTAGGATTTTGGAGTCTAATACAAAGTTAGATCTATCTGAAAGCAGTTACCAAGGAAAGTAGAAGAGGGAGGAGAGGAAGGAACATAGTGTGTGTGTCAAAGACCCACTCAGGGTCCAACGTCAAAGACGTTGGAAGTATCTCCTAGCTGAGATTTCAGAGCAGGTCCAGCAGTGGGAAAGGGTTTGGGGTTGACTCTGGATATATTCATGAGTAAATATGGAAAATGCAGAGAATTAGAAGCCATTGACTAAATCAATGGAAGAAAAAAATAGAGTCTTCAATAAAAGACATCTATTAGAAATCTACGGGGAGCATTTCATTTAACAGTAAGACACTTAAAGGCAGGTATGAGATCCAGGAGGCACAAAAGAATGCCTTCCATCTGCTGTTTAGCACAGTTACACATGCCCTGCTCAATAAAAAAACAATGGACAAAGTAAAGGTAGACATAAATGCTGACAGTGAAGTGATCTACCTTTTTGTAAAGCCTAGCGTGATCCTTCAGTTCAAAATAACAAGAATATTTAATGAAATTATAAGTATAAAATCAATATGCTAAACTTAAAGTGTAAACAAATGTATTGTCTGTATAAGGAATAAACATATAATAGCCATAAAACTATATATGGCATATCTTGTATAACTTGTACATAATCATGTGCTCTGTATGCTAGTATATTATGTAAAACTAAATATACACATACAGCTATATCCTCTATGTATTCATACATACAAAATTGCATATGTACATATGTGAATTATGTATATGATGTGTATATATCATAAGTGAATAAATCATTATAAAGTTAACTATAAAGGCAAAATTAAGAATATTTAAAAGACTTGAATATAACACAGGCATGCACTTCCTAGACGGCTGACATTATGATGACATTTCTCTGTAAATTAGCATGTATATGCCATCCATTTCCAAAAATATATTCTTAAAGATTTTAAACAGACTTGAGAGGATAATTTGAAATTAATCTGGATGAATCAATGTCACGAGAAAATTTTAGAAAAGGGAAAATGGAACGTACTCACAGAAACAAAATAAACTACCAGTTAATAGCTTCAAAATATAGGTATGCTATTGACACCAAAGTCAGGCATATATGGAGAGGTGACAATGTGGAGTGAGAGATGATTTCTGATGTCCTTCTTGGTGAGTAAATGGCCACTTCCACCTGGCATTAAAGCTATCAGGTTATGAAGAGTTGTTAGATTTTTTTAAATAAGTTTTTTATCATGAAAATAATGTATAGAGGGTTTACAGTTACATGAGCAAGGTAATGAGTACATTTCTTTTTTTTTTTTTTTGTCCGTCGTGGGGCTTGAACTCTGGGCCTGGGCGCTGTCCCTCAGCTCTTCAGCTCAAGGCGAGCGCTCTACCACTTGAGCTACAGCGCCACTTCCAGTTTTCTGGTGGTTTACTGGAGATAGGAGTCTCACGGTCTCTCCTGCCCGGGCTGGCTTTGAACCGCGATCCTCAGATCTCAGCCTCCTGAGTAGCTAGGATTACAGGCGTGAGCCACCAGCGCCCGGCTACATTTCTTTTTTAAGTAAGTTTTTTATTGTGAAAATACCTTACAATTACATGAGCAAGGTAATGAGTACATTTCTTATCAATCATTGTTGCCTCCTCCTTTGTTTTTCCCCTACCATCCCTGCCCTCCCATCTCCACGACTACCCACCCCCCACCAAAGTTGTATAGTTAGTTTTTCAACATAGTGTCTTGTACATCTCATTGTTGCACTGGGTCCACCTGTATCCCTATTTAAACAATTTGTTTTTTTCCCTTCCCCGCCACAAATTATACCAACATCAAATATAATGAAAACAGGGGTTATACCGTGGGGTAGGAGTATACAGAGCAACAAAAAAAATTACCTTATAAATATATTAGAAACAATAGCAAGAAAGAAAAAACCACTTATGTCCTTATCTTGGGGTTCATTTTGCCTAACATCATCTTATAGAATTCTATGCCTCCATCAGAAAGAATGACATTGCTCCATTTGTTAGGAAATGGAAAGACCTGGAAAAAATTATAGTAAGTGAAGTAAGCCAGGCCCAAAGAAACATAGGTCCCATGGTTTCCCTTATTTGCAATAACTAGTATATGTCTGAGACAAGCAGAATTGGTCAGATGAGTACATTTCTTATCCAGCATTGTTGCCTCCTCCTTTGTTTTTCCCCTACCATCCATCCCTCCCACCTCCTCAAGTACAACCCCCCACCCCCTCACCCTGCCTAAATTGTAAAGTTTGTTTTTTGACATAGCATCTTGTATATCTCATTGTTGCAATGAGTCAAACTGTATCCCTATTTAAACATTTTGTTTTTTCCCTTCCCCACCACAAATTATACCAACATCAAATACAGTGAAAACAGGGGTTATACCATGGGGGAGGAACATACAAAGCAACAAAAAAATCACATGGTACCTTATAAATACGTTAGAAACAATAGCAAGGAAGAAAAAAACACTTGTGTCCCTATCTTGGTGTTCATTTTGCTTAACATCATCTTATCTGAGCTTTTCTGCTTGTCCTAGACATATACTAGTTACTGCAAATAAGGGAAACCATGGGACCTACGTTTCTTTGGGCCTGGCTTACTTCACTTAATATAATTTTTTCCAAGCCTTTCCATTTCCTAACAAATGGGGCAATGTCATTCTTTCTGATGGAGGCATAGAATTCCATTGTGTATATATATCACATTTTCTTGATCCATTCATCTACTGAGGGGCATCTGGGTTGGTTCCATATCTTAGCTATGAAAATAATGTTGCAATAAACATATTTGTGCTGGTAGAGCTTCTGCATGGAAAAGACATGGCTAGAAATATCAATAGAAAGCCCACAGATTGGGAGAAGATCTTCATTAGCCATATAATAGACAAGGGTCTCATATCTAAAATATACCTGGAACTCAAAAAATTAAATCCCCATCAACAAATCCTCAAAGAAACAACTTCCTGATAAATAAGTGGGCTAAAGACTTAAAGAGAAACTTCTCTAAAGAGGAAATAAGAATGGCCAATAGACACAGGAAGAAATGCTCAACTTCTCTAGCCATAAAAGAAATGCAAATCAAAACAACATTGAGATTCCACCTCACCCCAGTTAGAATGGAGCTATAATCAAGGACTCTAATAACAACAGATGCTGGAGGGGATGTAGCCAGAAGGGAACCTTACTTCATTGTTGGTGGGAGTATAAACTTGTTCAACCACTTTGGAAAGTAGTATTGAGGTTCCTCAAAAGACTCCACATAGAGCTCCCCTATGACCCAGCAATCCCATGTTAGGGCATTTACCCAAATGATCACAAACAAGGCCATACTAAAGCTACCAGCACAACTATGTTTATTACAGCACTATATACCATAGCTAAGATATGGAACCAACCCAGAGTCGTTAGAATTTTGTGGAGAAAAGGCATGTCCCCTGCTATTTGATTTCCACCTTACCCCTCTTAAGCATTCTTAAGAATGCTTTTTATAGCTGGGGGGATATAGTTCTATGGTAGAGCATTTGTCCCCTAACATGTCCCTGGATTCAATTACCATCTCTACTAGAAAGAAAAGAAATACAAAGGCTTTGGGGAAATGTAAACACACACATTTTATTTTTCAATACTGGGGCTTGAACTTAGAGACTCCTTACTAAGCATGTAATCTATGACTTGAGCCACGTCCTAGCCCTTTTGATTCACTTCGTTTTTCCAGTAAAGTATTCTATTTTCTATCTCACTGAACTAAAACATAACCCTTCTACTTATGAGGCCTGTATATCCGAATCGACTGGCACTTATGACCACTCCCAGCTGAGATGAGATTTCACTTGCTTTCTCTCCCAGGCTGCCTTGAAACTGTGAATCTCCATATCTCCATTTCAAGAGTGGCTGGGCCAAATTCTATAAGGCCTTCAAAGGAGAACTCACTGTAATATTCCTGAAACTCATAAATGAAATTGAAAGCAAAAAAGTCACTAACAAACTCTATGAGTTTGAGTTCTATGAGGCCAGCATCACCCTCATCCCTAAACCAGATGGGGACCCATCAAGAAAGAGAAAGACCCATTTCTTTATTGAACACCAATGCAACCCTTTTCAATAAAATTCTGGCCAGCTGGCTTCAACAACTAATCAAAAAAACCCACATACACTAGGATCCAACAGGATTCATTTCAGGGTTACAAAGCTGGTTCAAAACACACAAGTCAATTAATGTAGTTCATCACATCAATAGGAGCAAGGACGAGAACCACATGATCATCTCAATAGATGAATAAAAGCATTTGATGAGATCCAACACCCCTTTATGATGAAAGCCCTAAAGAAACTAGCAATCCATGGAACCTTCTTAAATATAATAAGTGCTGTATGTGACAAACCTACAGCAAGCATTATACTTAATGGTGAAAAGTTAAAATCATTTCCTCTAAAATCAGGAATGTGAAAAGGATATCCACAATGTCCACTTCTTTTAAATATAAGTACTGGAATTCCTAGCCAGATCAATAAGGCAAGAGACAAATATAAAGGGGACGTGAATAAGGAAAGAAATAAAACTCTC